AGAGTCGACGAGGAAAAAATCAAAGCCATTAGAGATTGGCCGACTCCTACCACGATAGGACAAGTGCGTAGTTTTCACGGTTTGGCTAGGTTCTACCGTCGATTTGTGCGAGACTTTAGTAGTCTAGCAGCTCCCCTCACCGCGGTCATAAAGAAGGATGTGACATTTGAATGGGGAGAAGCACAAGAGAAAGCATTTAAAGCTCTAAAGGACAGCCTCACTAGCGCACCCGTCTTAGTTCTCCCGAACTTCGACAAAACTTTTGAGATAGAATGCGACGCATCGGGGATTGGTATAGGAGCTGTCCTAATGCAAGAAAAGAGGCCCATAGCGTATTTTAGTGAGAAACTCAGTGGGGCCACACTTAATTATCCCACATACGATAAGGAGTTATACGCTTTGGTACGAGCTTTAGAGACTTGGCAACATTACTTGTTGGCTAAGGAATTCGTGGTGCATTCGGATCACGAAACATTGAAACACCTTAAGGGTCAGACCACACTTAAGCGAAGACATGCTAAGTGGTTGGAGTTCATCGAGACATTCCCTTACATCATAAAATACAAGAAGGGAAAAGACAATGTCTTAGCCGACGCATTGTCTCGACGACATGCTTTGATATCAGTCATGGAGGTTCGGATGCTAGGATTTGAAATCCTTAAGGAGCAGTATTCGACCGATCACGATTTCAAATCCATCATAGAAGAATGTAGGAACGGTGCTTATGGACCATTTTACTTACATGATGGATATCTCTTTCGAGATAAGAGGTTATGCATCCCGCAAGGATCAATGCGAGATGTGATACTCCGTGAGGCTCATGGTGGTGCCTTAGCTGGCCATTTCGGAGTAGATAAGACGTTTTCCATCGTACAAGATCATTTCTTTTGGCCGCACCTTAAGCGAGACGTTAGGAGGTTTTGTGCTAAGTGTGTCGAGTGCCACCGATATATATATATACATGCATATTTATACATATAAATACATATACGTATATACACATACATATAGTATAGACAAATAAAATATATATATGTATATATATACATACATATATGTAACAAATACATACTTTGACCTTACAATTATTAATTAATATAAAAATAAATATATCTCATCCGTTTATTATTTTTTTTATATTTTTTATATAAATAAAAAACATTTATGATGATATGGTTTATTATCATAAACAAATAAATAAATGAGATGTAGAATTCACTTAATTAAATAGTGTACTTATCATTTATTTTAATAATAACAATAATGAAATTTGTATATTTATCATACAAACGAAATAAAAACGAAATCCTGTAAATATGTTAAATTGTAAATGGTTATACGAATTGTTAAACATTTGGGTCCAACCCACTTGGGTTAGTTGAATTATGAAATTTGTTAAATTGTAAATTTGTATATTTATACATACACACAAAACTTATAGAATACATACATGCATCATTTACGCATATACACGTACATACAAAAGTAAAAAATAAAAAATGTATTGAGATATATGCATTTTTGTAACGTCCACGTACATACACGAATACATTCATATACAGGGAACATTATACACACAAATACATCTATATATACACATATACACATTCATATAACTTGTAATTTTTATTCTTCGTTAATATTAAAAAAATCAAAATTTATAATTCACTATTTTCGGAAATACAAAACCAATTCAATAATAATCTACCCAAAAGCTGGGTTTTCTTGCAAACAAACAACCAAACAACAGAATTTAAAAAAAAAATGTCAAAGAACTCAGCTGCCATATATATTTCATTGTTATGGTTCATCTCCAAGGTCTTCAGATTCTGAATAATCCAGTCGAAAACCTTCTTATGCAATCGGAATGATTTTTCCACTGCAATTTAATTCCTATCCATTGAACCAACTCACTCAACCTCGCTAATAAACATTTGAAAACGGGGGGAACAAAATGACAAACCTGTGGAAAACCTCCAAAAAAAGTATGACGTGCATGTTACAAAAATCACATATTAAGAATAGATGATAGATAAAACAAATATACAATATTTTGAAATTAAATATGGTTATTAATGTGATGACGACCGTTCCCTTCTCTTTTGTAATAAAAACGACACTAATGATTTATGAACGGTTACAAAATATTATAAGGACTTAGTAAAGAAAAAATACGTTATAAATTTTGTATAATGAAGAGGCGTATTGTTTACATGGACGTTAGTTGAAGAAATTAACCAATGAGGATAAAGGATTTTGCCACATGAATGATGATGTAGATGCCACATGTCCTCACCACAATCCTTGAACCAAACTTTTTATATATATAGATTCTTAAAGAAAAAATCCCTTCGATCAATAATGGTAAATTAAAACAGGCGAATCATTAATCGTTTTCATATACTATATGTAAACTTTATGCGTTGAAAGGGGATATGACTTTGTAATTTTGCTAATAAATGTGATTTCTAAATGAATGGATGGATATGGAATGAGAAGTGTGCGACATTTATAAAAAACGTCCATTAAAAGTGTAGAGGAATTGGATGCCATTGGTCCCTACTGTAAAATCCTGGGGAATCCATGCCCACTTTATAAAATAAGGGAGTGATTTCTAATATAATGTAAACTTTGGGCGCGGTTTGCAAATATGATTTATTATAAGAAAGTGTTTAATGATATTTAAGCGAGCTCGTAGGAAGGAATATGTATTATGTAGTTTGGTTTTGGTTTAATGATGATAAAAAAAAATACTTTTTGGAACAAAGGGGGAAAAAAAGAGAAGGGGGGAAAGCGAAATGCATGTGGTTTTTTTTTTTTCCTTTTCTGTTTTTCCAAAGGACCTTTCTCAAAGGGCGGAAAATTACACTTTTCACCGTTTTCAACTTCGGCCTTTCACCTTCCTGTCGTTTTCCCCCCTTCTTTTATCGTCTTTTTTCCCAATGACGCGATGCGAATATTTCTCTATTAAATTCCGAATTAATCACTATTTTACTCCGTAATGTCAGAATAATATTTCTCTTAGTTTCTTGTTGTAGATAAGAAAATACAAAATTAAGCAATTTCATTACATACGATTTAATTTAAATACACCATAATGTGCACGAGAATCAAGATACCAACCCGACATCCCCAAAGCGACAAAAACCACCCTTGTGTGTTTCCATAGTTTATTTATTCCACATCAACCGACGCACTACCCCCCTATCCGTCTACATTAAGTAATTTAATATAAATTATCTTATATTTTGGTATTACTTCTGGTTAACGGTTGCTTATTGTTTCAGGTATATAAAATTATCGTCAGAGGGAAATCAACACTTAATAAAAATATTTAATTATCTAAAGGAATTAAAAGAAACGAGGAAAAATATTTCCAGGAAAAACCAGTCACTGACTCGGTACCAGAGGCGGAAATAAAAGGAGAGATGATTTGCTTTTGTTTCATTAATAAAATATTAGAAAATAGGGCACTAACCGTCCAGAGTCCGAGCAAGTGGAAACAGCTATAACCCTTTTTTTTCCTTTTCTTTTTGTGGTTCTGTTTTAGTGAAATGCAGAGCCGAGGAGGTGAGCTCACGCGCCACCGTCGCTCACCGTCAACCGCCGCATAAGAAGAAGCAGAAGAAGAAGAGATGGGATGCACGGTGTCGAAGCTCGGTAATGAGGACACCGTGCGGCGGTGCAAAGATCGCCGTCATCTCATGAAGGAGGCCGTTCACGCCCGCCACCTCCTCGCCGCTGCTCATGCCGATTACTGCCGAACTCTTCGTCTCACCGGATCCGCTCTCTCCTCCTTCGCTGCTGGCGAGCCTCTCTCCGTCTCCGATCGGACTCCGGCTGTCTTCCTCCATCCTCCTCCTGAACTCTCCTCCTCCTCCGCTGGTTTCGTTCCTCCGCGAGTCCCTCCTTCGCCTTCCCAAACTTCCGTCCATCCTCCGCCGCTGTCTCCATCCGTTGCGAGCTCCAAGCTGCCTCGGATCGTCACTGCCGCCGCCACCGCCACCGTCACCAATCGCCGTCGGAAACAACCAGCGAAGCTCCCTCACATTCTCTCCGAGTCAAGCCCTTCGTCAACTCCTAGGAGTGAAAGATCCAATTTCATGCCGAATTTCTTCCCCACCGCTTACCAGAACTCCACTTACTCCGCCACTCCTTCTCAAGCTTCTTCCGTCTGGAACTGGGAGAATTTCTACCCTCCTTCTCCTCCCGATTCCGAATACTTTAACAGGAAAGCTCAAGAAAAGCAACAGAACCTCCACCATCTCTCTAACGATCAAGCCGACGGCGATGATACCGAAACGGAGAGATCGGAGTATGATTTCTTCCATACGAGGAAGAAGAAGCAGATCGAATCCATGGACAATACCGTAGACGAGGAGACGGGGAGAGAGGAAGTACAGTGTAGTGAATGGGAAGATCACGATCACTACAGCACGACGAGCTCCTCGGATGCAGCAGAGGAGGAGGATAGGGTATCCATGTCCGATGTGGGTGCGCGCTCGGAGTTCGGATCCTCCACGAGGAGGAGTTCCCTGAGACGGCATCACCAGGAGCCGTCACCACCGCAGCCAGAGTACGGTGGTGCTGCACCAGGGAAGTATGACAAAGCAGATGACGCGACTACGTCGTCCGGCAGCTACAAAGGCGGAGGAGAAATCGCCGACATGAAAATGGTGGTAAGACACAAGGATTTGAAAGAGATAGTCGATGCGATCAAGGAGAACTTCGACAAGGCCGCTGCCGCCGGTGATCAGGTCTCGCAGATGCTGGAGCTCGGCAGAGCTCAGCTCGATCGCAGTTTCAGTCAATTGAAGAGTAAGTTCAATTTGCTTGGTAATTGAGAACCGTTTCGAATTTTCTTATCCATGACTCATGAGTATATTATGGACGCGTTTTATAGAATTAAGTTGTTCTTTCATTCGCAATTTGGATTGCAGAAACAGTGATTCATTCGAGTAGCGTCTTAAGCAGCTTGAGTTCAAGCTGGACCTCGAAACCGCCATTGGCGGTTAAGTACAGGTTCGACACGACGGCACTGGACCAACCAGGTGGCCCGAAGAGCCTTTTCTCCACTCTGGATCGGCTTCTAGCATGGGAGAAGAAGCTCTATGAAGAAGTCAAGGTTTGCAGTTTTCTGTTATGATCATTGTATTCAGATCAGTTGTTCTTATTGTAATTTGGGGTTTCTTTCACGTGCATGCTAATTCATTGACGCTGAGTAATTTTCAGGCTAGAGAAGGTGTGAAGATCGAGCACGAAAAGAAGCTGTCGCAACTTCAGAGCCAGGAGTACAAGGGGGATGATGAGTCTAAGCTAGACAGGACTAAGGCTTCTATAACAAGATTGCAGTCCCTGATAATTGTTACTTCGCAGGCTGTCACTACCACGTCTACTGCTATCATCCGCCTTCGAGATTCTGACCTCGTTCCTCAGCTCGTTGAACTTTGCCATGGGTAAGTTTGCCTAATGTGCTTTATCTGTTTAAGGAAATTATGGAATAGTAGTCCTGATCTACTAGTGGTAATCCCTGCTGTTGAATAAGACTTTATCTCCGCCATAGCATTTGCTTGCATTACTTTGTTGAGCAAGGATCAGTTTCTTATTTCTATCTGAAGTAGCCAATCTTCATTCATACCTATTTTGGCATGGATCCTGCCAGCTGTGCCAATTGCCTCGTGTTTTTTTCTGAGGTCCAGTGCTTTGGAATTGTTTCGCAATCTGTTTCACTTTTTGGTGATAGGCAAGGTCCCTACAGATCTTTTTATGGATGTAGTTTTGCTCTTGATCCATTTTCCTGAAACTTAGAATCTCCAGGCATGTCGGGTTTGTTCTTTTTTAATTGTCCAATTAGTAAGTACGAAGCTGATGGATCAGATTCTGCCAAATCGGCGATGTCGTGGTCTAGGTTTGGTGGCGGTCCGTTGTGATTATGTTTGATTAGCTGAGTTCCTCTTCAGAATATGTGCCTATCTTGAATTTTTCATGCTAATCTCTCTGAGTTTTTTTTTACTTATGCAGCTTCATGTACATGTGGAAATCCATGCATCAATTTCATGAGGTTCAGAACTGCATAGTTCAGCAAGTTCAGGGGCTAATTAACAGGTCAGGCAAAGGGGAATCAACTTCAGAACTACACAGGCTGGCGACACGTGACCTGGAATCGGCTGTATCTGCGTGGCATTCCAGTTTCTGTCAGATGATTAAATTTCAAAGGGATTTCATTCGCTCCATCCAGGCCTGGTTTAAGCTAACCCTCGTCCCCGTCTGCAACGACGATGCTAACCAGAAGGAGCAGTTAGATGCTTACAACTTCTGCGATGAGTGGAAGCTTGCCCTAGACCGGGTACCAGACACAGTGGCTTCCGAAGCCATCAAGAGCTTCATCAACGTGGTTCATGTGATATCTGCAAAGCAATCTGAAGAGCTAAAGGTAAAGAAACGAACAGAAACCGCGTCGAAGGAGCTAGAGAAGAAGGCATCATCTCTCAGGAACATAGAAAGGAAATACTATCAGTCGTATTCAATGGTGGGAATCGGTCTCCCGGGTTCCGAGCCCGATAACGGGAATGTCTTAGATGCTCGGGATCCGCTCATGGAGAAGAAAACGGAGCTGGCAGCATGCCAAAGGAGAGTGGAGGAGGAGATGCTGAAGCATTCCAAAGCAATAGAAGTGACGAGAGCCATGACGCTGAATAACCTGCAGACGGGATTGCCTGGTGTTTTCCAAGCCTTGACCAGTTTCTCTGCTCTCTTCACGGAGTCCCTTCAAACGGTATGCACCCGTTCCTACTCTATCAAGTAGAACATTTATTAATCGATATATAATTATATATTCTTATAGTGCAAGAGCTTTCACTGAAATTTTTTGGTGGTAAGTATATTATTACAAGGGATATCAAGAGCTGGAGATTTCAGCCTCTTCTTTTTTCTAAAATATTGTTTTGTTTGGTCACTACTACCACTGTTGGGTCTTTGTTCACTTGTCTTGTCTCGGGGAAGAGATTTGGAAAACAAAAATTGGTTTTAATAAAATGTAAATATATGGGGGAGAGTCTGTAATTCTGTTATGCTGTTTTTGGGTTTTGAAATGTGGGGGTTTGCCATGGAGATTTCGGAACGTTTGTGTCTCAGGTTCTACATGTTCAGCTAAATCAATAAAGAAAATCTTGTGATTTTCTTAAAACACATTAAAAAAAAAAAGGTCTGATTTGAAGACAAGGGTAAAGGTGGTTGTGGGAGATTCTATTCTGCAAAACCCAACCTGTCTCTCTAGGTATATGGTTTCTGTTTACTTTTGTGTTTGTGTCTTTTTTTTTTGTTTTAGAGGTCCGTCTTCGCCACAGTTCCATCTGACACATCGTCTGTAGCACATGGGTCGTGTATTTATTCGTCTCTGTGTACTACATATATATACATACATTACACATAGGGGGTTGTATTATCGTACCGTTTCCGTTTCTTTTTTTCCGCTGCCCCCTGCAAATCTCTGAGAGAATCCACCCCTTGTCTCCTGGAGGATCCTTGTCCTTTCTCATGCTCTGTCCTTATCCCTCCTCCCCTGATTTTTCCACGTCTCGTAACACTCTTGACCGTTTCCTCTTTTATTTTTTTTCTGTTGGTTGTCTTATGCTTGGGCGATTTACCAGAAAATCCACGCCTCGTCTGGAATTATCATTCTCTCTAATCTGTTTCCTTCTCTCGTTTATCCTTTGATCGAAGCCCGGTTAGGTTAGTACTATTGAACTTTCCATAGTGTAGATGTTAAGGGTGATTGTGATTGGGCGTTATGTATGACACTTGATGCATTTTTACATTTGCTATTTTAATCAAAACACAACAGAATCTCATACTTTTCATACGCAAGTCGGTCCATCCTGCCTGTCAACTGACAGCTATTCCTCCGCAAAATTAGCTCGCTCCAAGTCTAATATGGTTTAGGACCACCCATTTTACAAGTCGACTGAAACTGGCATATAGATACACACACACATATATATACATGTTTCATGTCTTTATCTTAAGAATGAGACCCATCCTTCTGAACAAAAGACATACAATGCCGAAGATTTCGATTTTGGTGATCCTTTTTTTTGCGGTACAGTGGAGGAGTAGGACCACAGTCAACAAAGCAAAAAGAATGAAACATAGAGTGTGTGCAGGGAAAAAAAAAAGGTCACAGTCAACAAGAACAGATCTGATTCATTCCCTCTCTCCATAATTCCCTCCCATCCGAAGCCTGGTTTTAGCTTTTTCCATGTTCATACAAAAAATCCTTGGATTTTACGGAAGAGGAAAATCTACACGAGTTCCTCCCTTAACATGTATATGACTCCCAAACAAACATTAAAAACAAAAAAACTAACGTAGAACCCAACCCATACACACTCTACTAAACCCTGAGAAAGTAAAAAGCTAGAAGAACTCAAAGTCTAGGAATTTACCTCCGGACATCATGTCTGCCGGTCCCATCATCCTCTTGCTATTGCTCCCGAACCCAACCGGATCGATCGGACCGAACTTGGGCGGTGGCTGTGCCGCCTCCATCGGTATGGGTACCTCAGGAGGCGTGCTGCAACGTATTAATGCCCAATTCACTCCTTCGAAGAAAGGGTGTTGCTTTATCTCGGTTGCACCTCTCTTCGTCCCTAGCCTGTTTCGCGGGTCTTTCACCAGCAATGCCTGTACCAAGTCCCGGCTTGCATAGCTTGTGGCTGGTGACTCGGGGAATTTCAACTGCTCTCCAACTACGTTGAAGAGCGTAGCTCGATTTCCTAATCCTTTGAACGGTGTTTTTCCATATAGTAGTTCGTGTAAGAAAATCCCGAATGTCCACCAATCAACTGCACTCCCATGCCCTTCTCCTTTGATGATTTCTGGAGCTAAGTACTCGTGGGTTCCGACAAAGGACATCGATCGTGTGTTGGGTTCTGCTACAAGCTCCGGCAGTGTGCCTGAATGTGATCTAAAGAGTTCGGTTTGGTTTTTACGGGACTTGTTCTTCTTGCTCCTCTGAGGGAAAATTCGGGGTATCAAGCATGAGGGTTGGATGCATGATGATGATGAGGGCTCCATGCAAGAAGGTTGAACACAGAATGCTCGTCTTGAAGGATCGGAGTCAGATGTTCTTATCAGTGTCGGGGAAACTGCGCATCTGAGGGACAGATCGCAATCTGAAAGCATTATGTGGCCATCGTCACGAACCAAAACGTTCTCTGGTTTCAGGTCCCTGTAGACTACACCCAGCATATGGAGATACTCTAGCGCTAACAACACCTCGGCAGCATAAAACCTGCGAAATGTGACAGCAAAGGAAGTGAGAAAAGGGAAGGAGCTTGAAAACGGTGAATGAAAATTTATATGGTATCTTCAGGATTTTACGTACCGAGCAGCATACTCTGAGAAATGCTTGCCGGGTTGACGTTGCCTTAAAGTGTGGAGATCACCACCTGGACAGTACTCCATGACCAAGCACGAGAATCTGTCCGTCTCAAAATGGGTGTACAAAGTCGGGAGAAATGGATGATCCAAGAGCTGTAGAATCTCCCTCTCTGTCTGAGCCCGGTTCAACTTCTTTCTACTCTCAAGAGATGCCTTATCCATTACTTTCATAGCGAAATGAGACCTAGTACCGCTCAACTCTGACAGATAGACGCTGCCTATATCACCACAACCTAGCCGTTTCAGCAACTTGAAGTGGCTCATTCCCAAAATTCCATCCCGAGCACGGACGGCCAAGATGGCCTTCCATCTAGGATCATTCCCTTTGTGAGGCTTGTTAATGCCACCCGTAAAATTGCTCCAATTGCTCTCGTCGCTTAGTCCACTACTTTCACTCACTCTGCTGCCGCTCGTCTTAGCGCTTTCAAATGAGTCTCCGACCATACTCACACTCCCTTTAGTACTATCACAAAAGGTTTTGCTCATACAAAGCACAACATCGCTCTGGTTTGTACTTGCACAAGAGCTATTAGCTATGCTCATAGCACGGGCGAAATTCATACTGTCAACACTGCTGAGGGGGCTCACATTGCCGCTGGGAGGGAGAGAAGCATCCCAAATGCATTCCCTCTCTGAATCGGGTGGCAGCAGAGAGTTGTCTGTGTTCTGCGATGCACGGGCCACTGAAAACGGGGACAGAGATGCCACTTGTTCGCTTGGTTCGTCGACTATGCTTTCTGCAGGTGAAAGTATCATCGAGCTAGCCTTCTTTGGAGGTACACGGACTGAGACATCCTCTAGAAATGGTCCTTTAGAAGACAAGCTCTTCATCAGGCAAACTGAATCAGGTTTGTTTGGACTGATAGGGACATAAACCGTTGTTATAAGATCCATATCCACGGGTTCTGGAGGATGGCTAGCCCCAGAGAAGGAGCTAGAACCAGCTTCCTCAGACAAGTCATTGCTTTGATTACAAGTAATATCACGGCTCATGGTTTCCTCGATATCAAGCAAAGGATACTTCGCTTTCATTGTCCTAACAGATGTGGCCGACTCAAAACCCCTCGACTCTTTAACATTACCAAACAGAATCACCTCTTCCCTGACTGAACTACTATGCCCATTCAACACTTGACTTAATTCTCTCCCTAACGTGATTGGCCCAGTCATAGCTTTACCTGTATATCGCCCTGAACGTTCCCTCAATGAATCTAAGTGCATACTGGATACTTGTACAGTGTCTCTGTTATCCAAGTCCATGTAAGCTTTGGGCAGATGACCTGAAACAAGAACTTTACTCGAAGGAAGTCTCTTCAGTTCAGCGATCCTTTCCATACTCTGGCATTCATGTGCCTAAAACCGACCAAACCTCTCCGCAGCAAAACCCTGCATAGCAATAAGCAAACGAGATAAGCCAATTTCACTATCCCATTTCTGTTTTTGCTTTTTCAGTTAAATCTCTGATATCCATTATCACAAGCAATTGGGAGATGCAATCAAGAAATTAACAAGCGAGACAGATAACTCAATCCTCATTCACTCGTAAATGTTACCCCCTCGTAAATGTTGGGGGGGGATTAGGTTATATCAAACCTCGTTCATGATGATTTTTGAGATAACTCAAACTATGGATGCGTTCAGTCTCCAATTTCCAGAGGCAGAGAAGACTTCTGCCAAGGAGTTTCCCGAGAATCCTGATGGATGAAGCAAGCGTTATCGTACCTATTCTTAACTTCGATTCCAATCAATCCAGAGGCGGAACAGAAACAGAAACAGGAAATCCAAACAAAAAAAAAAAGACAAAACAAAGACACCTAGATTCGAGTAGCGCACAAAAAAAAAAATATACAAACAAAAACAAAGAAAAACCGACACTAACCTAAAGCCACACCGCCGACATTCTGGCTTCAAGCGCTTTCTTTGAACAGTGCACTCTGTCTCCGGGAAGTTTGACGGAAATTTATCTCCGATGAACCTAGAGTCCTCCTCCGGAAAATAAATTGAAGAGCTCTAGTTCGGAGACGAGAACTTTCTCTCTCTATCTCTCTCTCTCTGTGAATAGAGAAGAGTAGTACAGCTTTTGATATTTGTATGGCCGCTCTAGCAGCGACGGACGGAGAAAGAAAAGCGGAGGGCCTGCCTTGTGGGCCCCACAAATTAGTCGTTGGGCACATTTTTTGATTTTTTTAACAATTGTAGGTCCTAAATTTTATGTTTGATCTTAAGCTTAATGAGATTCTTAATCCTGCTTAAGCGTTCATTGGCAATGTGAAATTTCCAACCCAAATAAGAAAATAATCGGAATAAACAATAAGCACAATTCTTAAGAAATTGATTGATTAAATAATGGAATGCTCACTCAACCACTATTTCCTCATTACATTCTCGAAACATAAAAATAATTAACTTATCATATTAATTAATTCTATATTCAATCGGTATTAAAATAGTCATTTTAAGCTCCAAACTGTCATGGATATATATGTATATATGTTTAAAACAAGGAAAACAGAAAGAGACAAATACCGGAAGATTCACTTTTTTTTATTCAATCTAAAAGTATAAATTTAGGTAACAAATAACCAAAGAAATATGAAAAACATACAGACCAACAATAAAACAAGATTAATAATTTTCTTTGTACCTAAACGAATAGTGAATAGAATTCATTATAAATTTACAAACTGAAATGTCTGAATAAAGATAATCTGAGGGCGATGATTAGTGGACAAACGTTATTGGTTGATTGACCTAAATATATTTTTCTAATGGGGTATAATTGTTTATTTGATTCAGCAATAACAATATAAGAAAAAGGTTAGAACAGGAAGCAATAATGATGATGCTTAGTGACCGATTGCTTTGATTGTTTCCCTCCATACTTGATGTTGTTGCTAAGGATAATAATTATATAAAAAAAAAAGATAACAAATTCTCGCTTATTATGGAAAAGCAAACGCTACTATACTTGTTAAAATTATAAAATATAAAATAACAGACTGAAGCTGGATATTTAGTTTTTTTAAATTATTTTGGTTAGTTTTTTATTTTAAAACTATTTGTTTAATTTAGTTATAAATTTACTTTTTTGTTACCAATTTTTTTTATATAATTTAAAAAATTTCAAGTGTTATATATTTATATCTATTTGAATATTTATAAATAATTTTGTGAAACAATTATTAAAAGATTTTCTTGGTTATAATAATTTGTTATTGGATTGGGTTTAGGTGCAGCAGCATACGTAAACCAAAATATCCACGTTTAGAGATGCTTGTGTGCCCGGAATAGCAAAAGGACAGATATACCCTCCCACCGTGAAAACGTCATGCAGCGTCGGTCGAAGTGCATAAAGAGGGTAAAATCGACAATCTAAGCTGGGAAAAAAGAAAAAGGAAGGAAGGAGAAAATTACGCGTGCATGGGAATCTTTGTATTGGAGGGACTGTCAAATTTAAGACATAAAGACCAGACAGTAGGGTGACTCTTCGGCTCGTGTTTTCTTAGCCCAACACGTACAGTGTCTCGTCCCTTTATGTAATCGCTTGAGACAAAAAAAAAATAATTTCATGCCCATGTAAGACAGACAAACCTTATTATAAAATTTAAATTTTAGGGGTCTGAATCTTATAAAATTCCGTACACTTAGAAATCCTTTCAGTGATTGAGAGTAGATAGATATTTTTGAAAAATCTCGGACATGTGCTTTCCATATGATGATGGACTTGACCCCCAAGTGTACCACCTAGCTAGGTGCCTTTTTATGGGTAAATTCTTTAGAGACACATACTGTAATTGTGCATGTATATGTGCGCGTAAGTGTGTCTATGGGTGTGTATAGTTCTACTGGTGTGGGCATTGAATTGAATACTAGGGCTTCTCTTTGGAAAAGTGGCAATACTAGTGGGTTGAAAAGGAGAGTTTGGACCTTGGGAAAAGAAAACAGACAAAGGCAAAGTAGGGGGAATTCTGATTTGTTATCGACCGTCTTGTGATTCCGTTTCTACATCTCACTTCATGTAGGCCCAAGTCACTGATTCACCATCCGGCCCAAGCCCAATTAATGATCCAATGGATAAAGAAATAAATAAATTTCTCATAATCCTTGCATTAGATTTACAACTTCCTTCGAAACTCTATGGGCTTCCACATTCTTCTAAAATGGTTTTACACTTAGTAGGCCTTGTAGAGACCCTGATGTCATTTCGATTAGTTTTTTTTATATATACACACACAAAAACAAAAACATCTAAATCTAATTCACCCCAAGCTTCTGCAATTTCCGGAGTTTCATCATGTGCTGGTCTCTCAGCATCATTTCCGCCGTTGTCCTAAACGGACACGTGGAGCTCACAAAGCCGTTGACCAAGTGGAGATAAGTCCCGAGCTCGTGACACGTGGCAACGCCAGTTTTCCTTAGAAACGGCGATTGCTTGCTGCTCAATCTCAGCTCCCGGCCCAGGTCTGCGTAATCCCATTGCATCTTCTCCAACCACGTAGGAAGCCCTCCCACGTGGCATGCCACGTCATTGTTGTCGATTACGAACCCTGGGACTTTCGTGATAACGTCATCCGAGTTGACTATTCGAAGCACCCTGGTCCCACTTTTCTCTAGCTGCCGCCTGAACCGTGTGTTTCCCACGCGCGGACCGCCGAACGAAACGACGGTCACCAACGCCGTTTCGCCACCGCATACCGCGTTGATATCACTCGCCGTCAGAGTCGCTAGCGCTGCGCCGAGGCTGTGCCCGGTGACGGTGAAGCTGAGCGGCTCGTCGCCGTACGTTTCCACCACCTTGGCCACCTCCTCTCTCACCATGTCTCTCAGGCTCGGACACGTGGCGGTCCCCGACGTGTACAGACTCAGGAAACCACTCTCCACCATCCCCGTCGGCGCCTCATCATCGCCAGGGAAGTCGGTGAGAGTGGCTCGGAGGTTTTCGATCCACTCCATGCACGTGCCCGTGCCGCGGAACGCAATGACGACGTCACGGCGGCCAAGCCGGGCGATCTCGTCCTTGTCCTGGCAGACAGCCACGTAGCCTATCCAGCTGGACAGCGTATTGGCCCACCTCGGCGAGCTCTCGAGCCAACGTGGCAGATTAATTCCGCACGTGGCTCGTAGGTTTTTGGTTATGCGATAACCGGATTCTCCGACGCCGGAACGGTCGAGGAGGGACTTACGGGGGAACTTACACGTGGCATATGTCGGGGACGAAGGGTCAAAATCGAAGGCTCGATAAGCAGCTTCGACGAACTTGCCGTAGCGTAAGATTTCTTGCCGGAGATTTTCGTCGAGAGGATCGAGCATTCCTTCCCAATTGTTGAACCCCTGGATCTCCATCCACCTCTTTCCAAGTCCACGGTTAATCTCAGCCGTAGATGTCGACGACTTAGACAGAGACGTGGAAGCGACCGTCAGAGACGAGTCATGACTCAGTGAATGCATGCCAAGCGACCGGTTGGGAGGTTGGACCGCAAGTTTCGCCGAGGAGTGGTCGGAATATTGTCTGTGAACGGTGGCAATGTTTGTCGGAGGGTATGACCTTTGTGTCGGAATTGAGATCTTCATGGCCCTCGTATTTATTATCTTTTAAACTGTATGTCGAATACACTGATCAAAGTGGCAATGTTGCTTGCGTGTTTTCGAGGAACGATGGCATGAAACCATTTGATAGTGTCGCGTATTTATGCTGAAGAAGAGGAAGGAGACGTTGGACGGCGGAGAAGGGGGAAAAAAAAAAGAGAGAAAGCGAGGGGTGGGTGGGTCTAATTAATTCCATGTACAAGTTTGATAGTAATCATCGCATCAATCATTTCATTTAATATTGTGATATGGAATTTATTTTTTTATTTTTTAAAAGAAACTATCCATTAACTTTTCAGCTATAACAATCGAGTGAATCCCCGAACCAAAGTTACAAAATCAGTGTATGCATGTATATCAAATAACCAAAGGGAAAAAAAGGGATTCTATGCGGACGGGGTGGAGCCCACAAAATGAGTGACCCTCTTCTTTTTTTTTAATAAAGGAGTGACCCTATTTGTTGTGAATATATATTCAATTCCTAAATGGATATAGAGACGGACTTTTCTCGTCTTTCCGACCAAAGCCCACATTTCCAACGTTACCAATGAGTTGAAGACTCACGTGTGTGTGTGTGTGTGTTCGGACTATATTATCACTGTCTCTTTCGGAAAACCAGATCTCACACAGGTCAAGTAAAACAACGAGTACAGATTACGCGCTCGATTCCTTGAACCCTCAACATACAAAAAGTGTGAGGAAATCACGTCACGCAAACCACGACGACGAGTACTGGACCAGAGATTCTTATGCATTTTATTTGTTATAACTTAAAAACTAAATGTATTTTCTGTGTTTACAATACCTACTAGTATTTTTTTTTTTAATTAGAAGATTCACTGGACCTTCGACCCACTTAATTCTCTAAATCCGGAATCAGATTTTAGTCACACAATTAATTGTGTTCGTTACTTCCCAATAGTAGAATTGAACCCATAATCTTGAAATGATTTTAACACCTCTCAATCACCGGACCAATAACTAATAGATTACATGCTAGTTTTATGATGGGATATTTTAACAATTGTTTTAAAAATACGTTTTATTTCAATGTTTTCTATCAAATGATGATTGGGATATTTGTTTAAAATAGTGGAAAAACTTTTGTGTGAAAACTGAATATATATATATATATATATATCATATGAATCAGTCCAATTTTAAAAAAGGATAGATTTGCATGTGTTCTTCAGAAAGACAAAATTTTATTTATTTGAAACTTTATTATATCGAAATTGGGCATTGTAATGTATGCCAACATACAAACTTTTTCTAGACAATGTACTAAGATAATACATTTTTTAAATAGTATTTTCATAATTGACACATTACTGCAGTGTTACATTTTCGTATAAAAACCTTATGTATTCAAAAAATTTCCGTTCAAAATAAAAAATCAATTAGCGTAAATTAATGTAATTGAATTTTGTATGAGTTCAACTGTTTTCAATTTAAAACGCAAAAAGTTGTTACTAGACTTTTATATTAGATTGGTTTATTTGCATATTTATGTTTTAGAATGGTTTATTTGCATTTTTTTCCCCTGCGCAATTCGACATTCAGATTAGGGGTGGGCGTTACGGTTCGGTTTTTCGGAACCGAACCAAACCGAACCGAACTTTAAAAAATCCCGAAAAACCAAATATTTTTAAAAGAAATCTATCTTTTTTTTAATAAAACACGGAACCGAACTGAACCGATACCGAAACCGAACCGAACCAAACATAATATAAAAACCGATTGGTACCTATTTTTGTAAAACCGAAAAAAACCGAACCCGAATCGTTTCCCGAAACGCCCACCTCTGATTCAGATACATGAGAAGTGACCTTTATGGAATTAAAGCAGTAGGTCCGAAATGGACAGACGACACCACTGAGATTGGGGTAAGGATGGGGCACTACTTTATTCATATATTTGCTTTGCATTGACAACAAAGATCATTTTTAAAAAAATTGTTATTTACCTCAGATTTTTACTTGACAGATTTATTTTTATGGAACCGTCACATTTTAAGCGTGACGAAAGTGCGTGATATCCGATAGCGTATCTATGTGAAACACAAAAAAATTGTATTGATTATTATTCATCAATTTTGTCCTCTGTGTTATTATTAACAGTTTTTAACTATAAAACACCAAAAATCATAATTCTTAAAAATATATTTAGATAAAACCATAAGTTTTCATAAACCGAAATATTCATCTTTATAAATATAAAAAATACAATATTTCTATGTTCATCTATTCAATCCTATTTTTAATATATATAAGTTAATATTAGAAATAAATATTAAATTAAATTGAAAACAAATAAATGAATAAAATATATATAGATAATTCTGGATGTTTCCTTTGTTATTATATAAATTCAATGTTAAAAAAATATCTAATTTTTCCTTCTTGAATTTCAAAACTTATAAATTGGTTTGAATCGAAACCGGGAAAAGTAGGAAATGACGACCCAGCTAATCGATGAGATTTATTACATTCCACATTTATTCACAAGACAAGTTCAACCCAAATTTAAACCCAAAAAAAAGTCTAACCCAAAAGAACTTCACATCCCCATATTAAAAACAAAAAAAACAAAACAATCAAAAGTTAAAAGTTTGTGGACAAAAAAATGGTGAACAAGTACTGATGCATGAAATTTAATGGTAAAAAAACACATGATACAATGTAATTCGTCGGAGAATCGGGGGTACATTCTGAAATTCAGAACAATAAATAAATAAATTCTTTTTTTTTTTTAAAGGAAGAAGAAGAAAATGACATGGATCGGTAGATATGACATGACGCATGAGTACTTTAGAATGGTCCACGCGTTACTTGTAGTCTTGTGGTCTCTCGTGGGACTCCCACTGAAGTTGAAGTTGAAGTTGAATTTGAAAAGGACTCCTTTCCCCTATTTATATATGCTTGTTTTATTTTGTGCAGAGCTTACACCGTTTCTTGATAATGTCGCAATCCTTTGTTTTTTTTTCGGGTTTCCATAATTGCGTGTTTTTCTCACCCGTTATTTCTCCGTCCACCCCCTTACACAGAATTCTTTTTCCATAATTATATATATATATACATATATAATTTAATGTAACGGTCCGAAAATAACATATGATAAAGTTATTTTGAGGTCCTAAGTTAGGTTTGATTTTATATGTGGAGAAGAATGACGCAATTAATTGCGTGATTAAAGATTGATTTTGAATTCAGATAATTAAGTGTCTGATTATAAAAAAGAAAAACAAAGTAAACAAATCCACTGCTGGATTTGGTGCAATTTGCATTTTGTACAAATTTCTTCATTCTAATCTCGAGTTGCGTTTGGCGAAAAACAAGAAGATATAAAGGAAGTCTCGGTTTTGCGTAGAGGGTTTCGTAAGCAAGAAACGTCGGCCATCTCGGCTTAGTTACTAGATGAGTTCGAGTATAGAATATTCGAGAATTGTAAAGTAAAATCTATTTTGTTACAACTTTCATTCTTTTTCCAATTCATCTCTTTTTTTTATATTTTAGAAATAAATATATTTAGTTTTTGGGAAAATGACATTTTTCTACACCAACTTTGCAAAATGTGACCTTTTCCTACACGAATTTTTAATTTGACAAAAAACTACACCAAATTATCAAATGTGCCAAATTGATACACGAACTACCCGATTTAACTGCAATTTCCTACACAATCCGAAAACGGTGTTAAGTGTCCGTTAACCGCTGACGTGGCACGCCACATAGATTTTTTTGCCACATCAGCATGCCACGTCATATTTTTTAAAAAATTCCGAAAAATATGAAAAAAAAAATCGATTTTTTTTAAAAAATTTAAAATAAAATAAATAAAATCTATTTTGTTACAACTTTCATTCTTTTTCCAATTCATCTCTTTTTTTTATATTTTAGAAATAAATATATTTAGTTTTTCGAAATACAAATACTAGTTCGAGAATCTAGATTGTAAAGCAGTAATATCTTTGTTTGATTCTGTTTTCCATTATGATTGGTTCATTCCTTGTGACCATGATGAGTCTGATAATAAAAAATATTTCTAACATATTTTAAGACATAAAATGACGCATAAACTAAAGTATATTGATTAGTATTTACGTGATATGTATTATGTATATCATCTATACGTAAAATATTAAAAGAAACCATTTTTAATGTGTAGAGCTCTTACTATACGTCGTTTTAATATAATCGTCGACTGACATTTGGATTTATGTGTAGAAATTTAAAGACCATCTCCACTCAATACCGAAAATATCTTTTTTTTCCGACTAAATAGAAGACTGTAAATAATAAAGCTAATATAAACATGGTTGTGAAAAGATAAAAACCAGAGTATCAATAAAAATTATAATCGGTTCATATCTTTGAGATTTAAGGATCGGTTACCGAAAAAAATCAATTAGTGAATTATAAAACAAAATCAAATTTTATAAATTAGATTTTTTTTAAAAACATCAACATTAAATTAACTATAAAAGGTGACGAGATATAATTATACCAACAAAACCCTGATTGCATCTATTTACATTATTTATAATTACATTTATTAGCTCAAGATCTATAAACACAACAATATTTGTTCATAATGTTCTTTTTTTTTCATAAATTTTTTATATCTCTATATTGTCATTGATTAGTGTGGTAGATTATGATGATGGTGACTTCGATGAGACCATCGTCGTATTTTTTAATACTTCCGATAACATCGTTATAATAGAATATGAATATATTGATTTTGGTTTTGATGAGATTAAAATGAAATTATAGAAAAAACGAGAAGATAAAATATAAGAAAAAATATATAACGTATAATATTTATTTTATATAATAAATGATTAAAATAACTTGTTTTAATAACATATGGATATCAAAAAAATATAAATTTCTATATGTTTCACCAGATTTTTTTCTTTATGCTTTACATGGATTTTTTTTTATTTTCTCGGACGTTTTATGAATACTAAACAATAAATCTCATTTATCAAGTACAAAATTAATGTCTTTTTTAAAAAAAAAAATTTATATACGAATACGAGAACCCACGTTACCATAGATATACTCTTTGAAAAAAAAGAACCTTTTCCACTTATATGCATGAAAACTTCTAAATTAAGAACCAATAGATATTTAGGAAATTGAATTCGTGTGGGGTCGCCACCTTATATGAAATGTCCACGTGACATTCAATTTAACGGCCATTCGCAGCCAAAAATCATTGACAGCAACAACAGCTTGCGAGCAATGTGTTGTGTGTGTGTATATTTAAATTTCATTGATAAAAATGTTGTTCTGTTAAAATTGATTTGGTTTTAGAAAATAATCAGCGTGTGCATGTCTTCTGCAACGGTAATTAATTTCAATAATTATCTCAGAGACCAGTTCATGCAATATAATGTAAATCTGTACATCATAAAAAAAATCATCAATAAAAGAATTGATAATAAAATTTGTTTTAATTGTAATGTGAACAGAAATATTGGGTTTATTCATTTTGTCTCTCTTACATTAAGGCACTAACTAATACAACTTCTCCCAATTAATTACCACTGTTCTCAAGACCAAAAACAAAAAGTTACCCAAAAAATGGGCCGATAACCTTTTCAAATTAACTTTTAAATTAGCAAACGATGTTTGTTTTTAAATTTTTCGGTTAAATAGTTTTTAACAATTTCAAAATAAAATTTTGCTTTCTTACTATTAGAATTTTAATGTTGTAAATTTTGAACATGTTAGTTTAAGATTTGATTTAAATCTACAAATCATGAGATTTAGAGTTGGAAATGTCAAATATCACAAAAAAAAAGCTAAATTAAATCATTAGCTTATGGATTTAGATATTGTAATTAGGGTTTACTTTTTTTTTTCACGATGCTTGGTAAAATCATCGGATACGTTAAGGAAGAATATATATATACATATATATATATATATAGAGAGAGAGAGAGAGAGTCCGTGGGCACGTGTGATTCGTACGGTGTCAATGTCCTCTCTCTAGCATTTTTTTGGGCACTTATGATAGGAGGCCACTAAATTTGGCAACATTATACTACATTACAAAAGTGGAACCTCAACAAATCTGGTGGAGCTAATTTAACGACACGTGTTTTATTATTATTGCCCATATGAATTACGCCATCCGAAATCTAGCAACAAAAAACCATAAAAAAAAAATAGCTAAAATGTTGGAGACACACCACAACCTTTTTCTTTCCTCCTCCTCCTTCTTCTTATTGATTAAAAAAAAACTGGATTTAAAAATTTCAATGCTACGCTTTCAAATAGGTTACGGAACGGAGATTATGACAGAACCTTAACATGCATAAGATACGAGTGATTAATCCTCGACAGGGTTGTCTTTGATAAGATCTTAATTACATGTTTTTTTTTGTATATCCAATTATCACAATTTCTACATATTTTGCTGCATCGTATCGATTATTGTCTTCCTGATTGGTCTCAATAAGCTCCGCAATGTCATTTTTGGTTGTCCCTTTCCAAAAGCATACTGAAAGCTATGTATACACGTGTGTGTGTGTGTGTGTGTATGCATATATAGATGTTTTGTAATTTTGGATTCGGTTACTGTCAAAGTAGACTCCAAAGTTAATATTTTCATATATTGTGATTCATTTAAGATTGGACCATGAATCCATGTGGCATTAGAACGAATTCGATATATTCTTGAAATCTCGAGTCAAATCAGGTGTGAGATTAATTTGGACCACATTTATAAAAGTGGTCGGAGAATAAAGGCAAGGCGTCCGCAATCATTATAGAAAACAGTGATTAGTTTACACAGCTGTCCTAATCACGAGCTGATGAACCGGAATCTTTATGCATTCCAAAATTCTATATTGAAAAATAAAATAAAATCATGTCTTAATCTTTTAGTTAAATTCCACGTGATCTATAAAAAAAAACATTAAATATAGAACAGGGCATGCATGCACGGGTCGGTCTGAATTGTTAGTTATTTATGAACTTTTTTCCGTTAACTGTGTTTAACTGAAATTCTGTTAGAAAACATTAAACGTCATTAGCTGTTAATCCATGGACGAGGATTTTCCACACGTGTAAAACAAGGAATACAAATGAATTTTTTTCCCATAATATTTAATATTACGTCATTTTAATTAAAAGTAATAGGTTTAAATATTAGTCTTTTTTAAAAAAAAAAAATTGATTAACGAATCAATAACCTACACGATCCTCTCACGTCAATTTCCTCTTGATCTTTTTTGCAGTGTTCATTGAATATAACCGTAGGAATATAGAATATTGCAACGTGTATATAGATTTACACATTGTCTCTTAAAGTTACATATATCCAAATCAATGATGTATAATAGGAAACACATAAAAAAAAAAAACTAGATCTCGTTTTTAGCGACGTGCTTACATTATATGGGCAAGATTCAAAGAACTTGACAAGTCAAATGAAAAAGTTTGATGATCAAATTAACATATTATATATAATATATATATAGTTTAGCATGTATTGAATACACAAGTTGTCGTGGACTACATTTCCGCTCAATGTACCCTGTTATCTTCTCTAAATACGGACTATATATATATATATTATCAGAAATACTAGACTTTGAGAACACGACCACTAACTCGTATAAGATATGTTATCTTATCTATTAAATAAGCCTTAGTGACGCATAAATATTCTCAAGATATTCGTCATTATCCTTCCGAAAAAATCATCTGGGCATCGACCTTACCCGAATCAGATTCCTTAAAAGTTGCATCTCGGTTCGATATAGGGCTTTGGTTTAAATCCATTAGAATATACCCAACATATCAATCAAAGGCACTTTTCACCGGCCATCTTAGGTCCAGAAACTAACAACGGTAATTGAATGGCAAAACGAAGAAAATACTCTTACATTGATATCATAGATTAGATCGTACATCTCATCCGTACAACATTTGCTGTAGACATTTTTACCCTTTATTGTCTGTATTAGGCAGCATCCAACATTTAGACACGTGTAACTGCCTAAGCAGCGGTCAATCGGTTTTCAGCCCGGTTTTATTTGTTGCAAAATGGAAAGAAAAAAAAAACATTCGGTCCAGATATAATCTGTTTTCGTTTTCTATTAAAAAAAAATTGTTCTTTATTTTTTCTGGGTAAATAAAAAAATTGATCTTTATTAAAACTCATTTTTTTATTCAATTGTCTATATTTGAATCGGTTTGTTTAAATTCTTTAGGGAAGGTTTTGGCATGACCGGTTTTTGTTCCCATCCATATTCCATAATTTTTAGGAAATTCTTGAAAATAAAGTGAAAATGTATGTTATAAATTACAACTTTGAGAAAAATAAATTTGCATGAGTAAACCAATGGACTGACCCAAACCCAACAATTAGACAAGTATGTCAATAACCCAACCAACCCGAAGTTCAAAGACCCGAAAACGGGTCGGGTCGGGTCAAATCCAACCCGAGTTAAGAGTAGTGTTTCACTGGAGTGTGTTTTGGGCTATTGAATAAGATATGATAACACCTGTTAATGGGCTTTTTCTCAGTCTTGGGCCTGGGCTTTTAGATGGAGCCCATATTAACCGTTCAGTACGATGACGTTCCACTGACATTGTAATAAGTCGTCGTCTCCGAAATTTATTTATTTATTTTTTAAATTTGTGGGTTGGTGAAAGCATTTTGTGGAAGTAATCAATATATGTGTTTTATCGGAATAATGTAAAGGTGAAGTCCACCTAACCCTAACGAATCTTGGATTATTGTATGAATTCGAACGTGATGGGCAACTTCCTGCACCATTTTTCTAATTCCATTTCTCGTCATTTTTTTTAATGGCTGTTAAGATGTCGTATCTTCCAAATTCAATCAATGATCATCTTCTTCTCCTCTTTCTTTTTCTTTTTTTTTTAAATTTTATTTTTCCCCATCTGGCCCGATGGGTTCCGATGATGTCTTAAAACATAAGAATTAAGAATTCCAATAGTGTGTGTACATATATATATATATATATATATATATATATATAAATACTGGTCAGTGGTCAATGTTCATTACCAGAAGCCAAAGTCCAATTACCAATTTCTAACATAACTGAAAACGGAAGACTAAAAATTCTCTATAACTACTCTCTTGTCTTGTACAAATATAACGTAAGTATATATATATATATATATATTATAAAATGCAATAAGGTTTTTTCCATGTGTTTATCTAAATAGCAAAAGTGTTTGTGAAATTTCACGGGTTATTTTAGGGGTATGCTTATGAGCAAACAACATGAAAACAAAAAAAAAGGCAGTACCATTAATTATGAAGTGATTAACAATAGAATACTACCAAAAGCCATCTCGACCTATGGATAGAATATTTTATTTTACTTACTATCGTTTGAATATTCAAAAGCTACAATACAATATATAGGATGAAGTTGTTGAATGAGTTGGCGAAACGGTGACTTTTTCATTCTCCCCTTTCTTTAATATCCTCTGCGTCCCTTCCAAGCTGCGTGTATATAATAACGCTTGCCATTTCTTCTCCTCTTCACCCCCACCTCTCTCTCTCTATTGCAATACGAGTTTACATCAGCATGGCAGATTCTGACGTGTCCAGGATGGCCGTGACGGCCGTCATCCTTCTCGTCCTGGTGGCTGTCCCGGCGGCCATGGCGGTGGACTATACCGTTGGCGATGCTTCTGGATGGACCCAAGGTTTTGATTACACAACTTGGGTTAGAGGAAAGACTTTCAGAGTTGGTGACGTTCTAGGTATATATATAATGTTAGCCCTAATCCCCCCTCTCTGTGTCCCCCCCCCCCAAAAGGGTAGACTAAAACACTGTAATCTTTTGTTGATGTCGGAACAGAGTTTATCTACGGTGGGACCCACACGGTGGACGTGGTGAACAAAGACGGCTACGACAACTGCGACGCAAGCAATAGTTTACAGTCGTCCAGCGATGGAGACACCAAGATTCCACTGAACGCGACCGGACCAATGTACTTCATATGTGCAACACCTGGTCACTGCTCAGGTGGCATGAAGCTCGCCGTCACCGTCCAAGCCTCCTCCGGTCCCACTCCGGGAACCCCTTCCGCCCCACGAAGCCCATCTCCGCCGTCCTCCACCCCCGGAAGCCCGTCTCCCCCGTCATCCACCCCCGGCAGCCCCGGCTCTCCTCCGGCCAGAACGCCGCCGGCGCCGAACGCAGCTTCACGTGGTGGGCTGATGAGCTACGCCGTGATGGGTGGTTCGATGGTGTTGGGTTATGGGGTTTGGATCATGGGCTAGGGTGGAGGCAGTGCTTTCGTTTTGTTCTGTTCTGTGTTTCGTTTTGATTGATTCGAGAGGTTGGGTCCGTCACGTCTAGTTTTTTTTTTTTTATAATTTATTTTGTATTTTCATATTATCATTTTGTTAATACGCTGGAACTACTCCATCATTACCTGTCCATCGTGGAATAAATGATACATTTTTATTTTATATTATCTCTTTTTTATGTTCAAATTATTAGCCACTTAAACTTTATTATTATTAAGACTCTTTTAAGGTTGAAAAAGGATTAGACCGATTCTAGTCAAATCACAGATTCGGCCCCACAGCAATACATCCCATCCCATGCGGGTTGGGTTAAAATGGGCTGAGAAGATTCTAATGGGCCCAGCCCAAATGTACGGCCCATTAAGATCCGATATCCGTCTCTTGACGAAGCTCGTAATCTTTACTCGATTCGCTCGTGCTTTCTCTTATCCTCTTTTTATATTTCTCTAGAAAGATGCAATCGCCGTGCCCCCATCTCTGCAAGAGCTTCACTTCTTCTCCGCTCCCATTCCACGACCACCACTTCCACCATCTTCAGCTAGGTTTTCAGCATGCTCTTCCCACGATCACCGGAGCCCGAAAGATACGTTCTTCGTTCTGCTATCTCCTTCGAACGAACCGCGACGGCCGGAGCAAAGTCTTCGCGCAGAGTTACAGACCCGACGGTGGTAACAGTCATCCGGGGAACAAAGGGAAGGTGACGCTGAAGGGAAAGAAGGAGAACATATGGAGCGTGGATAACGAGATGGCGGAGAAGGATAAGATGAAGCCGAAGGGGAAGCCGAAGGGGAAGAGGAGAGGGAAGAGGCTCGCTAGAGGGAGGAAGGGTAAAGGTGATCGGTTTATGGTTTCTGGTGCGATGTTGATGGAGATAGAAACTGTTCTTCAGACACAGGTACCACCGATGGCGATTCTCTGTAAATTCTCAAAAACTGTCTCTAATCGTTGTGTATTTTATCTGGGTATGGTCGGGATTGATGAAAAATATTGGAAATAATCCTTCTGTCATCTCGTATTTGCTTGTAAGCTTGCGATTGCCTCGTGGTCGTAGACTAATTACTACAGACTGATGAGTAAAATGCCTAGAATTGTATCGAACTTGAGAATATTGGAATTTTCATTGGATGAATGAGATGATTCTTGGTATTGCTCTGTGTGTGTGTGTTCATTCTTATCCAGTGTGTGTATATCTTCTTCTTTTCTTACAGGAACCTGTAATAAAACCAGCATGGAACACATTTGCAAGCAGTGTATGTGGGATATGGAAGGGCGTGGGAGCTGTCTTCTCGCCTATAACAGGGGAGATGGAGCCGATTGAAATAGGGAACAAGAATGAGAATCTTTATGACTGTTATACCCTTTCTCGGATTCAGGCGATGCTGCCGCCATCTGGTGGACCGGCATCTGAAATACAGCGGAAGATAAATTGGGTGACTTTGAATCCTTATGGAGAGTTGTTTCGGATGACTGAAAGTAAAGAAGAGTTGAAAACTGAAAATGCTTCCTCACCTGCAAGGGGAATGGCTGACCAGAGTGTTGCAGATGGTGTTTTGCCCAAGTTTGAGTCTTTTGACATGAAAGCTAGTGATGTTATGGAAGAAGATATCATGGGCAACGAGCCTGGTCTTGTTTACTTTGAGGTATGTCTTACCCTCGTTCTTACCCTTGGTAGATCATCTTCTTAAGTGTTGTCGATTCACTGCAATATTGTCGTGGGAAGAACTAGATTAGGTTCCTTGGTCTTTAGCAGTGGGTTAAAATGTATTCAATGTTTAGTAGTTTTCATGGCATAATGATCGAACTGCTTGACACTCAGGATGGATCCTATAGCAGAGGTCCAGTCACAATCCCTGTTGGAGAGGCTGTTGAATCTAACTACTATCTCACGCCGACATTCAAGTTCGAACAGGTACTCCTCAGCTCCGGTATTTTACTTTTAGTAACAATCCTACCTTCTATGTTCCATGTTTTCTTGAACAAAAAAACTGTTGTAAGGGGTAGAAGGATTGAAAAAAGTGTCATTTCCTCCCTTTTTCTGGTAGTGTCTTGTGAAGGGTTGCCACAAGAGACTGCGGGTTGTTCACACGATAGAATTTGCCAATGGTGGTGCTGAGATACAGATAATGAGAGTTGCTGTTTATGAAGAGCAGTGGGTCAGTCCTTCACATCTTGCTGACCAGAGGTACGTCTCCGAGCTTTTTTCATACCCGAGAAAGTCCGGCCTGTATGATTTGTCTTTCTTTCGGACACCACTTTTATAAGACCCGTGGTCTAACAATTCACGTGGCATTGGGTAGTGACACGGCTCTGGAGGTGAAGCCATTCTCCCAGAGGAAACGGACACAACCTTCAGAGCTAACGGGCTCGTGGAAAGTATTTGAAGTAAGTGCCACTCCAATCTATGGCGAAGATGAAACCGAGACTGGTGAAGGCAATGACACTCCGTATGTGTATCTGTGCACTGAGACCATGAAGAAGAGGAACTTACCGGAAACGTCGGTCCCGTTTGGAGAGGAAGAGATGATGGATATGCAGGACGTGACGATTATGTGGCTACCGGGCGGTGTGACGGCATACGTGGACGTGAAGGAAGAAGGTATATTGTGTGTAGGCGTGGGATGGTACTCAGACGAGGGAATAAACCTTGTAATGGAGAGAGATTACGGCTTGGACGGCCTGCTTAAGGAAGTCAGATGGAAATCTGAGGTCAAGAGACGTTGGAGTGATCCACTTCCTGTCTAGGACCAATCTCTCTCTCTCTCTCTCTCTCTCTCTCTCTGTTTGTCCCAAGATGTTACAGTGCAAGTACATAAAACTGAATATGTTTATCCCACGGTGTTAATCTAAGGTGGGGGCTGGATTCGTTCGAAACAGGGAAAAGGTCAAGTGTTGATTTTTTTTTTCTTCTAGTGGACAATTTTAGATGCTAATTGGGCCCAAACCGTAATGGGCTAAGGTTCACTATATTGGGCCTTGTCTACTTACACACTTTCTTTTATAATGATGTTGAAATTTTGACCCCAAAAGTTTTTTTTTTTTTTTTTTGTAATCATAGATTGAATGACCTAGCAAATCTTCAAATACTTGAGCCGTGATCCAGAGGGAAAAAAAGGGTATTGCACCGTATTCTTACTGTATTTTTTTTTAAACGAAAAACTACAGGAAAGAAGGATAAGATGAAGCCGAAGGGGAAGCCGAAGGGGAAGAGGAGAGGGAAGAGGCTCGCTAGAGGGAGGAAGGGTAAAGGTGATCGGTTTATGGTTTCTGGTGCGATGTTGATGGAGATAGAAACTGTTCTTCAGACACAGGTACCACCGATGGCGATTCTCTGTAAATTCTCAAAAACTGTCTCTAATCGTTGTATGCATGCATACATGAATCACGTAGAGTGTCTTAATTCGGCCAAGGCTATGCGGAAGGAGAAAGGGACGAGAATCCGCGAAGGGAAAGGAAAGAGATCGCTTTCCATTTTCAAAGATGTGAAAGAGAAGAAACCCAAGAAAAGGGAGAGACAGAGTGGGAACCCACGGGAGGAGAAAACAGAGAGGCCTTCGTCTCACCAATCATTATATTTAGAAAACTCTTTAGAAATTGATTGAAATTCGCAATCATTCTTGCATGGAATTCCTCCCCATATATTGCCTTTACCTCTTCTTCTCCCCCCTCCTTTGCTTCCACCCGTGATCTTCTCATTATTTCCCCTTAATTAGCTGCTAATTAACTTGGACATCTCTACATTTTATTTTAATCACTCTGTATATATATATATATATATATATTGATCTTATATATATATATATCAAAATTAGATTAATATATGTGTATATATATATATATATATATGTCATTGTTGCTTGGTGTGGGTATTGTGGAGGGAGTTGGAATGATCTTTTCATGGGCAGAGACTCAGAGAATACTCAGTAGCTCCTCTAGTGGAGAGAGGCGAAAACGTCAAAGGGCCTATTATACAAAAATATATATAATTCATATGTTACATGTTTTTTTTTTTTTGCCGTAGAAAAATTGGGAGTTGATATTCATGATTGTTTGGTTTATTTTTTTATCAACTCACAAGAGCGAGATTGGATTAAACACGACTAGAAATGAATAGTCTCGATATTCTTAGAATCTCGAGAAATTTTCTGTACAAATCGTGTAGAAGGGACCGTATAAGTATGATTGAATCAAAATACATGTATTGGAGGTGGATTTGGCAATGTCCAATAGGGTTGTCTCCGTGTCTTGTCCATCAACAGCTTTAGGACACATCTTGACATGGATTGAAAGCTCTGATGTAGCCCACCACACTCATTGCCTCCTTGAACATTTTCATCTCTCTCTCTCTCTCTCTACGATTTCTTGCTTTGTTAGATCGTAGTAAAATGTTCAATTCCTCTTCGTAAGGTTGCTTCAGAAAGTTGTCGATAATCATCCGAATTCTTCTTCCTAGTGGAGGGATTGTTAGATTTCATGATGTCATTTGCTTAAATAAATGAAAGCAAATAATTTTCTAATCAAGATGCCCGAATAAATTAAATGGATTTATAAGCCAATACGGGTTGCTTAGGGTTCAACTTCCGCGGCAGATATAACATGTTTGGACCGGATTTAGGACACGAATGAAATATTGCACTTACATCTCTAACCATCCAAAAAATGCATCTTCAAGGCCATCCACATGGATTTTCATATCTGATTATCAAAAACAAATCCTTTCCCGTGTAGACACATCGTCTTTATTATAAGATTTAATTACAATTAATACCCACCCACATGTGACATATAGTAGTGAAAAAGTAAGTACTTATCAAATAATCACGTACGACCGGCAGGTAAGTAGATATTTATCGATCCGATTTTGCATAAGTTGGTTGAACAGCTGTGTACGTGCTTCGTGTGTTTTTGTCTACGTGGATACATTTACATGCGTATGGTGTATTAATTATAGTATTTTATCTACATACATATGATTATATACAGAGGTAATCAATTTGGGATGGAATTGTATGGAGGGGCCGAAAACATTCGATATGAAGTTGACCGGAGAAGATATATACAAAACGGGTACACAAATGATACCCTTTGTTTCAGAATCTGTGGGGACACGCACGAAACCCTACTTTTCATATGGCAAGAAGATGAACCGTCAAATATTTAAGAAACTTCATTTTATTTTTTTCATTTTAGACCCTCCAATATATTATTTACCGATTTAACATTTTTTCCTTATGCGACGGTTACCTTGTCATTATTATTATTATTGTCATAGTGCGATCTACTATTTTGTAATACAAAGGAAAAAGACCAGAAAAGCGTGATTAAATATGGAAGGAGGAGGAGGAGGAGGAGGAAGAGTCCCCAACTGCGATCTACAGGTGCCATTGACGACGATCCACGAGAACAATATGGGTTTCATCGTCCCCTTTGAAGACAACCATGTCTTGAGCTTCTTGGCTTCTTCCTCTTCTCAGCCTCTCTCCTCTCCTCCTTGCCCGATTGTCAGCTCTAACACCACTTCTCTAGGGTTCTCCAACAGCACCCAGGTCCTCTTTTTGTGTACAGTGACATCTTCCTTTTTGTCCCTTTGATGATGTTTTCTTTTCTCTTTGTCTCTTGATTGATCGTGGAAAGTCTTCATTTTGATCAGAGTGGAGGCATGGATCCGAAGGCGGTAGATGATCACCGTGAGGAGAATAGAGCTAGAAATGGCAACGATGGCCATGCTTCCTGGTAAATCGCACCTATGTATATCCGAAGATGTTTCTATTTTTCTTCGACCCGTTAAACAAATTCCATGTCCCATATCCGATCTATGTCTCGAGATCTGAGTTATGCCGTGGATTCCTCGGTTCGATGTTTGTGATCTTCATTGCTTTCTCTTTTATTTTCTTCCTTAAAGGTTCTTTTGGGCATGCCCGATATTATATCATAAGTGCGTATCCGCATATATATATTTGCATTATACTTATATGTATGTGTTTCATCAAACCCTTATTTACATGTTCAATCAGCCGTTCCTTCTTCACATCTTTGTATGCGCACATCAAGAATAATCGAATCTAATCCGGTTACTGAGGTACATTTGGATCGGTCCGAGGTATATTGCAGGTGGAGAAGTAGTGCGGCGGCTGCCGAGAAGAACAAAGCGAACAAGGTGAGGAGGAAGATGAGGGAACCGAGGTTTTGTTTCCAGACAAGAAGCGAAGTTGACGTTCTCGACGACGGCTACAAATGGCGCAAATACGGTCAGAAAATCGTCAAGAACAGCCTTCATCCCCGGTATTTTACCATTATACGCGCGCGTGTGTGTATATATACGCACTATAATTGTTTCGTAGAAATTAGGGTAGGAATCATAGCTGCCATTTATATTCTCTGTGATATACCGCTCTATGAATATCGAACCTTTGCTCAAGTACAAGAGCGACATGACTACTTATATACATGTGTGTGTATAGGTAAAAGAACCCTCACGACGATACGCTGAAATATTGTCCCCTCAATGGATTCTTGTAATCATTCGCGGGGATAAGAAATGGAACACTAGTAGTTTATTATCCCCGTTTAACACCGAATGAGATTTGCATGGCAACAATCATTTTTAATTCTATATATATATATATATATATATGAGTATAATAATAGCAGTTCCATATGTTTGTGGTCGAGATTATAATTTCTATTCGATATAATTAACTTCAAAGGGTTAACGATTTTTTTGTTAACAAATTCAATTTTAAATTCGGACTATCATTGTTAACATTATATGAATTTCGTGTTTTGGCTTTTTATACGTGTAGAACGGGTGAAATAATCTCATTGGGATGATGACATGTTTTTGTTTTCGGTATGAAACGACCGGCAGGAGTTACTATAGGTGCACGCACAGCAATTGTCGGGTGAAGAAAAGAGTGGAGAGACTATCTGAGGATTGTCGAATGGTCATTACAACCTATGAAGGCCGACACTGCCACTCCCCGTGCGATGACTCAACTTCCTCTGAGCACGAATGCCTTTCTTCCTTCTAATTAATCCTCTCTCTTTTATATATGTACGTATACCCATATATATATATATATATAGAGAGAGAGAGAGAGAGAGACGTTAGAAACATATATATATATATATATATAGGACTTCTGTATATGTGTAATTTTATGTTTTGATGCATCTTTTTAAGGGAATATGCTGTAGCTCCACTGGTATCGTTTTATATATACAAGAACTTTGGTAATATGCACAAAAACTATTCGTTGAGCTATATATATGATATATCTATTTGGCCTCTGCGAACAAGAACTTGTCTTCTCATCGCTCCACGTGAATCTCCCTCCTCGTATCATCACATGATTGTATGTATATATGAAACAATTTTGTCCTTGGAGCCATGTGATTGCGTTTGTTCAAAGAATTTGGTGAAGCGATATATATGACTACCTATTATATAGACACAAAACTCGGCAGTAGTCTCTCTTCTCGATCGGGTCTAACACTAACATAGATGGATGTACGTACAATCCAATCATGCACACTATCCCTGTCGTCACCATCGCCATTCTCGACTATAGCATAGAGTAATGGTCTCTACCCTTGCAATCCACATTCCCCTTGATCACATGCATGGCCATATATGTCCATAAACCACCAAGTCCGTTATTGTATACTCTCTCTCTCTCTCTCTCTCTCTCTCTCTCTCTCTCTCTCTCTCTCTCTCTCTCTCTCTCCCCCCCCTCTCTCCCACGTGAATAGCAAATTGTAAAGAAAAGGGCAATCAATTTTCGTGTATTCAGGCCGAGAATTCTGTGAATTGGGTTTACAAAACGGAGAAATATTAATGGGCCATAACATGGAAGGCCTATAACCAGCCCAAAGTAAATTCCCCGTGGAGACGAACGGCAACCATTTCAGTCGGGCAACGGAGAAACTACAATAAATAAAATAAAAAACAACAGAGCATTCGTCGCCAAGCCACAGGAGAACGTCGCGGGTCATGACGTGTCCACGTCTTACTGGTTGATTTCCAGATTCAGAAAAATCTTCTCCTTTTGTATGTATTATCTTTTATTTATTTATTTTTCTAAAAGGAACATTCATTGTTCAAACAAACAAAATAACAGCAAGAGAGGATGAATAATATTAGTAGTAGCATTAGCAGGACCCGCTAACCACGGGGATGGAATCACAAGAAAAGCATTTAATAATTTAAATTTGCATAATTTTACATTTAATAATTAATTACATTTCGGTGTCATTTACATTTACACTATATGTATATGACTTGGATTGTCGTATCACAGAAAATATATTTTTTACCCGTTGGTCCCATTGTATGAATTGTTAGACCATTGATTTACAACTTTTTTTCTTCTAATGTTAAGATTTACACTGTCCTATACATATGGTCAAATTATAGAACCAAAAAATAAATAAATCATGTATATATATATATATATATATATATTAAAGAAATTGTTGGTGGTGGGGATGGAGGGTCACATGGGACAGCACATGGAATTTGGGTAGGGAAAAAAAAAGATCCGAGAAGCGAGAGACCACGTTACGCAGTTATTGATGATGATCTCCACTTATATGCTCTTATATTTAACATGAACAATACAAATGAGACAAATTATGATAATTTTACCTATATTATAAATTTCAATATAAAATAATATTATTCTCTTCAGATATCTATCATCTCGTATGTATCAATTAAATGATTATCATAATTCGATTGTGGATTGTCTTTACCACGCATACTTAGGTTAAATTATTAAAAAAATATATATAATGTGTAGTTTTCTTATTTCAATTTGTTCCAAAAATGTTATGCATATGTTTCAAAATGTTTTTTTCGTCAGATGAATAAAGCTATGTTACTATTACTATATGGGAATATATTCACATTATTAGAAAACACATGCGTTTGCAAGATCCTTGGTATCATCGGTCCATCCATGACCACCATGAATAATTATTTATTTTAAAATATTTTTCCCACATGAAATAACATGTTGGGTATGGGATGCCATCAGTTCACGAAAAAAGTAATATTACAGCTGATTTAAATTTACGTAACAGACAGTTATTAACTTATTATATAGCAAAAATCAAGATATTAACATCATTTAATATTTACTGATATGCGTAGTTTATGTGTGCTGAAATAACTAAGACTAATCATAACTTTTAATCAATTCTTAATTTTGGAATATCATAACATTGATGAAAGATCGATCCTGTTTATTTTTCCCTCTGGTTGCAAATTAAGTTTTCAATTTTAATAATCATTTCATTAAAACGTCACTTTCCCTTTTTGTTTTCATCTATTAATAATTTATTTATTTATGTTTGGGATTACACCGCCGACGACGACGGGGACAGAAATGTAATTATCATAAAACCCATAATTTGGCACTGTCCTAATTTCAAACTCGAATAAAATCCCTACCCAAATCTAACGACCAAACTTAAACTCCCACATTTCTTACACAACACAACACTCCCAAAGACAAAACCCAACAACAACAAAAAAAAAAATCAAACTTTTTTTTTTTTGCAGTCTCTCTTTCTCGAGAACCAAACAGAAAAAAAATGGCGGAACTGGAGAACCCAGAGGTGATGCCGAAGCTGATAGCTTTCCTGTCGTCACTGCTCGAACGAGTGGCGGAGACGAACGATCTCAGCCGTCGGATTCAGACGCAGAAGATCTCAGTGTTCCATGGAATCACTCGGCCCACGATCTCGATCCACAACTACCTGGAACGGATCTTCAAGTACGCGAATTGTAGCCCTTCTTGCTTCGTCGTGGCTTACGTCTATCTCGACCGTTTCACCCATCTTCAACCTTCCCTCCCCATCACTTCCTTCAACCTCCATCGTCTCCTCATCACCAGCGTCATGGTCTCCGCCAAATTCCTCGACGACATGTGAGTTGTTTTTCAATATTAAACCCATCTGCAGAAAAGGCTCCGGCTTTGAACAACCCATTCTCTGTTTTTTTTTTGTCTTAGCGTCGGAATTTAGAATCGCATTCCTTTGATATTCCAAGAAGATCAAGATTTCGTCGTATTGGTTTTCTTGAAAATGTGTGAGTCCATGTGAGAAGAACAGAGCAGGCAACTTGCGTGTGATGCTTCTGTTCTGTCCCAACACATTTTTGTCAATAATTTAAAAAGCGGCTCTTCCATTATTATCACCTTCACATGCTTTTTTACTTCGTCACCAACCAAACCCTTCATTTCAAGCAAACGTTTATATAGATAGGCCTTTTTCTTTTTTAACTGCCGACCACAGGATAACGTATTCACATTCTTTTAAACCCATGATTATTATACAGATACTACAACAATGCGTATTACGCCAAAATCGGAGGGATCGGCACCGCGGAGATGAATTTCCTGGAGCTGGATTTCTTGTTCGGGTTAGGGTTCGATTTAAACGTGACGCCAAACACGTTCCACGCCTACTTGTCTTACCTGCACAAGGAGACGATGCTTCTTCAGCCAATCCCCGTCCGACCTGTCATCGCTTTCAACGAAGAAGAATCTTCTCATCAGCAACAGCAACTCGCCGTTTGATTCTGCCTTATTTCTCCTTTGATCAATCTCTCTTTTAGCTGTGTAGCTGTAGATTATGTAGAGGTAATGACGCTTTCTTGTCTTAATCTTTATTTATATATATAAAAAACTTTTACATCGGTAAGTTCATGACTATTTTTGCCCTTCTCCCCCTCTCTACATACATTACACATGCATTGCATACGTACATATGCACATGCATGCATATACGACTGTACACATATATGTACGTATATACGGAGATGTGGATCGGGTTCAGCTCATGTTGGTTTTGTGCTTTGTACAGATGGGACTCTTTTGTCTTTACAGACTGGCTCGCCTAAAGTTTTGTCATGTCATAAATCACCATTAATCTGTGTAGATTAATTTAATGTTAGGGCTCCTTTATCTTCTGAGATTTTCTTGCGTAGAAAACTGTTATGATATACAGCTTTTACCCATTATACGTAACAAAAAATGATGAATATATATATGATTACAGTGTAGAGTGAGGGGAGGAATGTGGATAACACAATTATTGGGGGAGAGGAATATGATATGTTTTGACAGTTGTGTTGGGGTTCTATAAAGGGGACATGGAACATGTGGAGATAGATAAACTGATGGCACAGCTTGTTTCCCAGGCTTTTGTAAAGATAGATTTGGCTTATGGAAACGTCGAGTAGCCAAACTGAGAGAAGAATACAAGAATGGGTGTTGGGAATTGTTGCGTTTGGCAATTGAGGTTCAGTAAACTCGGCTCTCACGTGTGAGCATACAGAGACAAGACAGAACTCGTAGACAAACGATGTCTTTTTCATCTTTGTATGTATATATGCTGTTCAAGAACTGAACTCATAGTCTAAAGCACAAAATTTGACCGGGAAAACATATCAAGAACATAGGCTTAGTATAGCTGTTTCTTGAGAACTACATGAATTGGTGTTTCAGGACATGGTGGTGCTTCTTCTCGTTTTCCCGGAAAGTTTCCTGGTCAGGTTCGGGGCTTTAGAGACGATGAATGGCAATATGGCAGACAGCACAGTGAAGAAAACGCTTAACCCTAAATGGGTTGAGAGGGCACTCGTTGCAAAATCATAGGTTAAGGCAACTGCATACAGTGAAACTTGCAGCTCAAGGGCGGAAAGGGAATCTGGTGGCGAGGAGGGAGATGAGTTCAGGAGAAGTGAAGAATCCAACAGAGTTCAAGAAGATGAAACAGCCATAAGTGATCCAGCTTTTGGTCCCCATTATGGTTGTTCGTCGACGGAGATTGTGATGAACACATCACTGAAAGCGAAGATCTTTACTCTTTTTTTTTTCACTGTCGCTTCTTCCTAACAACGCAGCGAAGCGAAGAGGAAGAAGAAAAAAGTCTCTGAACTTCAACAAACAGACAACCCTCCCAACTCTCAGGAGCTCTCTGACAACTTCCAGATTGTAGATAGCAATCCAAAATTATGCCGGAAACTATCTTGTTCCTGCTATAGAACAGTACACACAGAGGTTGCTTCATCAGCCTGGGCCTGGCCCACCTATAACTTACTATTTTGTTGCCGTTTTCTGGCCCAATAATTATTCAAAACTACATGGGCTAAGCTTACCGATTACGGCCTATGTATCCCCCACGGAATGGCCCCATGTAGCAACATTTTTTTTATTTAATTTTATTAACTTTAACAACAACATATTAAAAATCAAGAGAGTATTTATTATTTGCCGAAAATTAAAGTATTTATAGTGGCGTGAATTTAAATAAAATTTTAGCCCAATGAACTATTATTACTATTGTGCCTCACGTCGGTATTACCAAAATAAAAATTATGGCTTTCAGACATATGTAAAGGAACAAAAAATAGAGATGGAAGAAGACGAACCTGTCTCGCCGAGAAAAGTCAACGGAAGACGCTACCTTAGTTGTTGGCATCGCTTAACCACCGTCACACGGGGCGCATGTTAGCCTCTATCACGTTACCGCCCTTTTGTGAATGGTGGTTTTCGTCTTCCCCCAAAAAACAGCCGCCTTTTTTTTGGGTTGTCCACCGCGTCACGTATCATTCAATCCAAAATGATGTTGGTGTTGCCACCTAATCCCACTATTCCCTCCACGACGACGGCGCCCCCACCACCTCCGCCTCCATCGTTTCCATTATTATCCGCTTCGCTAACTTGCTCCGCCTTCCTTATCCTCCTCCCTCCCTTAACCTACACCCATCCGCTCTCTTATCACCTCCTCCATCATTATGTAATCGCCGCCGCGGAACACATCATCATACATCCATCGTTCTCTTCTTCTTAGATCTCATCCACTTCTCTTCTCTTACACAGATCCATGTCTAGATCGGATTCGCCTTCGGCTCAGGACCCCAACCCCAACCCATCTCCCGGCCGATCGCCACCGTCTTCGCCGCAATCCCTTCTCCCGCCGCCTTCGTCCACCACAGAATCGGCCTCCGCCGCTGCTGTGACAACCGCCTCCACTGCGGTGAAAAATCCTCGACGACTGCCTCCGCCGTGCTGGTCTCACGAGGAGACCATCGCGCTCATCGACGCGTACGGCGACAAGTGGCATGCCCTCCACCGCGGGAGTCTCAAGGCGAACCACTGGCAGGAAGTGGCGGAGACGGTCGCGGCTCGCTGCCCAGGCGCGATGCCGCAAAAGACGGCGGTTCAGTGCCGCCACAAGATGGAGAAGCTCCGGAAAAGGTACCGCACCGAGATCCAGCGCGCCAGATCTGTGCCCGTGTCTCGATTCGCGTCTTCGTGGGTCCATTATAAGCGCATGGAAACCATGGAGAAGGGTCCGGAGACCAAGCCTGACAACGGGGCCGACAGTGGGGACGACGATCGCGACGACGGTGAAGACGATTACCCACCTCGGTATCCGTTCAGCGGCGATGGGTACAAGAACGGCGGTTCTGCGGCAAAGACAACGCCGGGGTTCTTCAACAGGAATGGGATCGCCGGCTCCAGAGGCAGCGGAGCAGGCAGTAGTAGTGTCGGAAGCGGCGGAATTCGGATACGGATTCCGACAGGGGTGAGCATAGCCCAACCCGGGCCGAGATTTCCGGGGAAGATCGATCAGAAGTACACGACGAACACGAATTCAGGTGCGACGGCGAATGTGAGTGCAAATCCGAAACCAGGTATAGGGGCAGGGTTCAATTACGGAGCTAGAATGGCGAGAGCTTCTGAAGGAGGGAGAGCGGGAGCTGCGATGGCGAGAAGAGAGAGGGAGACAGGCGATGACCCAATGGGGGAAATAGCGAGTGCGATTAAGTTATTAGGAGACACATTGATGAGAACAGAGCAGTCGAAGATGGAGATGACGAGGGAGATAGAGGCTATGAAAATGGAGATGGAGATGAAGAGAACAGAGATGATACTTGAGTCGCAGCAACGGATAGTGGAGTCGTTCGCCAAAGCATTGGCGGAGGGGAAGAAGACGAAGAAACCGAGAAGAATTGAATCGGATGACTCTTAAGCGGATTCGAATGCAGCCTGTAGGTCTAAGGTGTCGTCGTTTTGGTTCGGAGAGCCGAAAGCTCTTAGCTTTTTGTAAATGTAGGGATGAAGTTTGTGACTTTTTCTAACGCATAGAGCGGAGTCTTTGTTGTATCCATTGTATCTTCTTCTGTCAGCTTGCTGGTATCCGACATTGTTGAAAGCTCATCAAGGAGATGATGACCGATTAGAGTAGAATAGAGGATGATATCTCAGCTTGAAGACATTGGTCAGATACTGTCTTGTAAGAAAACTATGTATGCCCTTACGCTCAAGTGCTCGTATATATATATATATGAGACTGAGAGAGCTACTCAGCTTCTTCTGCTCATTTTTTTTTTTGCAATGTTAAGCGAAACATCTAACGAGAAATTGATCTTATTACTCAGCAGCAGAGAAGTACGTTTGTATAAAGCGAAAAATGGTCAAGCCGTATTCACATGAGTATACAGAGCAATTAGGAGCAGTTTTCTTCGCGAGACCATGAAGATACCAATGAATAATGCCTTTTACGGTGAAGAAAACGTCCCCGTCTTCAAAAGAATTTTTAGCATCTCTCCCAAGAATCATCTGAAAAAAAAGCACAAAAAGAGCAAGCAAGCAAGAAAGCAAAGAATCCAGCAAGTACGCACATATATATATATATATATATTATATAACGAAGGCTAACTGCAAAGAAGACTTGGTGACATGAAAAGAAAGGAAGGCATGTCCAACAGCATAAGCAAATTCCTACAGGATTCTCTCTGTTGTCAAGTTGGCTTTAACTTCAGGAAATAGCCTTCAGACACCCCCCCTTATAAATCCTGGTCCTTCAAAGTCATTAGATCCCATATGATCTGACACATATATCCAGCTAACAGCAAAAGCAGATATAGCCATCAAAAGATCATATCAATTTCTAGATTCAACTACACTTACAGCCAAGCCACTTTCCAACCTTAAACCTTGGTTAAAACCAGACCACTTCCTTGTTTTCTGGTCCGTAAAAAGGCTGATGCAGAACCTATGTTCCAGAGTTAGCAAAAACAACCAAACAACACCACCAATGGTGAGAAAACAAACCAAGACCACCAAACACAAGCACTCAATTCTTCCTTTTACACCACAAGGCATCTCGGATATCAGCCAAGTTTGGGATTTGATATCATTGCCGCCATGCTTCAGGGCTAAGCAAGGAATGCCAATGTTCTTGGGATAAGCAGCAGCTTCCCTTGATGGCTGCAATTACCACAGAGGTTCACAAAAGCATACACCTTACCATTTAGAGAATTGGCACCAACTCTCTTGAGTCCTTGCCAAACCAAATCAAAGAACCAGAGATTATGATTGGAGGTGGGCTTGTGGCCATCCGTTTGTAAAAAGTCATGGATCAAATAAACACGCTAAATCTCTGTCCTTCACATAGAGATAACGCCTCCTGGACTGTCCATTATTTGGGAGTCTCTTTGGAGTTAAACATAAAGATACATCAACAACCATCTCTACAAAACTAAAGCTCGCCCATCACCACCATAGATTAGCTGAAAGCAGGAGGAGGCATGTATCGCTTAAACCATAGGCCACTCTTTTGTCTTGACCATAACATTCCATTGAACACTAGACTTCAACAGTATCATGAGGCTGCTATCCTTGGCAAGTCTGCTTCTTTCCGGTAAGGACCATGATGAATGAACTTTGCATGGCCAACATCCTATAGCAGCCTTTCTCATGAGACATCTGTTCCATGGACAAGTTTATCACTTTGTGACCATTGGATCCATATTCCCAGGTCACATCCTCAACGAAGCGATGCAAGACTTCCCACGAAACCATTTATCACAAAATGACAATAATAACACACAGAAGATGCAACTGAAACACTTTAGAGGAGCAAGCAAGTATAAAATAAAAACCATTTGGCTTCAACTTACATTAATAGTATGGCCCGGGACCGCTGCCCGAGTAACTGCTGCCACCCATGCCTCGGCTAGAGTAGACTGATGAATAAGAGCTACCTCCAACCTGCCATACAAGAATAGAATGGTTTAGATTCCGAAAGCTTCAAGAATAAGAAATAGAAGGGTCTGCAGCACATACATCCCTTCTAGATATGTAATCGCCACCATAGCTTGATGAGTACATTCCTCCACTATCACCACCACTGTAAGAACCTGAAAGCCATAGAAGGTTGCAGCTTGACAAATAAACCAAGAATATTTGCATCTCATGAAAAATTGTTAAATGTTAAGTTACCAGAACATACCTCCTCCATAACCCATACCCTGTCGACTGCCATACCGTGAGTCTTGACTAGACATAGTACTTCTGCTGCTTCCATACCCTAGACTTGATCTAGCAAACCTATAGAAAACATAGGAGTGAAAAAAAAAGAGGAAAAAAAAAGAAAATGAGACACTAAATCGAGAAAATGAAAATATGATAAATATCAAGTTTCAAATTCTTCAGTTTCCAAACAGTGAGAGCATACCTATCCCCATAGGCTTCCCCGTATTGAGGTGGACCAATATCATATTCCAAACGGGCTCTCGAATGGCGAACATCAGCATCAGCATAACGAGGAGGAATGTCATCCTAAACATGAACACTCATCAAAGAAATGTTTCACTCCAGAAACTTGGGGGCAACCCAGGAAACAAAGAATCAGACTTAAAGACAGGAAAAGACACGGACCATTGCGGAGTATGGACGCTTTGATCCAGGAACCGGCTCATAACCACGTGGTCGTCCTTCATTGTAACTTGGAGGCCTCTCAAATCTTTGACTGTAGAGGTCATCCATGAATGGCCGCCTCATTTCTGACCGAGAAGAACTTCTAGGCAGATCTGGATAACCAGAACCACGGGTTGTATAATCATCCCTATATGACAGATGCCTCTCAGGTGTGAGCCTGGAGCTGTAGTCAACAGCAGCTCGGCTTCTTGGGGGAGGAAGATCATCACGCCTTCCATATTCTCTCTTCAGGCTAGCCTTTGGATATGAAGGAACTGGCAGAAATTCGGAAGACGTCATAAATATACGAGTTACAAAAGGCTCAGAAAGAAAATTAATGAAGAACAATCCAAGGTCAAATCTATACCAGGAGGTCTTCGGTCATATGACCTAGGGGGAGGCAATGGCCTAGCTCTTGCAGGCGCAGGTGCAATTGGGCGTCTTCTTCTTGATCCATCAGGTTTTTTTGAACTAGGAGGTAGGGCACGAGATCCAATGCCTCTAGCACTCCTTGATGGTAGGCTACGAGGTGGTGGGCGAGCCCATGAACTCCTGCCAACCCGTCCACTTCCATGCCTAGAGCGGTGATCCGATCGGCTGATGTGCCTGCCTTTACCTCCTCGCTGAAGAGGTCTAGATAGCCTTGCTCTAACTTTTGCCTGATAGAAGAGGATGTATGTTAGAAACTGACAAAAAAGCATGCAAAGAAGGATGATTTACCAAAGATGCATACCTTGTTTTCCCCTACACCTAGGTCTGAATTGTTGATGGCTTTCGCACAAATCACAGCAGCCTCATGAGTATCGAAAGTTACAAAACCAAAATCCTTCCTCTTGGCAGACGGCATGTTACGAGCAAGCTCAATCTTTTCAACTTTACCATACTTTTTCAGCAGATCCCTTACACGATCTTCGTTCCATGAAGGTGACAGACCATCAATGAAAATAGTCTTAACCTGAAACAACAGAAAATTGAGTCAGTTATCATTAAGGAAGACAGACGTATTGATATCTAAAAAAACAGAAGAGGAAAAAATAGAAAGTCCGGAGTCAATATCCCAAAACTTAATTATGCACGGTACAAATCCCAGAGGCGAAATGAAAGCATCTACTGCCCAAATGGAACTCCTTCAAGGCACTATATAGAACATCAGAGTGCGAAGATAGAAGGAAGGATGGAAAACTGAACGAAGTAAATGCCCCTGTTAGATGAGTACCTGGGCCATTATCTTATCACCCGGATCAATGAAGGAATCAGCAAAAGAAACCTTTGCAGGTTTCTCAATTCCAAACATCACATCTTTTTTCTGGAGGCGTTTGTAAGCATCCTTGGCATCAGAGCGAGATGAAAATTCCAGAAAGGCAAACCCTCGGTTCATGCCTGCATGGTTGTTGTCCTCTACCAAGGTTATATCATCAACATTATCAACACCATAGTGCTTCAGCTTCTCCCTCAACTGGAATGACAGAAACGAACTAATAGTCAAGATTATCAACCACAATGAACTTGGGTTTTACTTACTTACGTACGGAAATCTCATATACTTACAGCTTCTATAGTCCATGTCTTGCTAATGTTGCCTAAGAAAAGAGTGTCGCTGTCCTGGCTGGCAGTCACGCCACACTGTTTACCATTGATCTGCAGCAGCAGACATCAAGAAAAGATGGTTTACAAATATGTAAAGGCATATTAACACTCAGACATATAACAACATGTAGAAGATTACCATTGGGTTTTTAAGCTCAGTCACAGCTCGTTTTGCCTGTTCAACAGATGCAAATCGCAGGAAAGCAAATCCCTTATTCTTCTTTGTCTGAGAATTCTTCATAAGCCTAACTTCCATCACCTCACCCACTTGGCCAAAAACTTTCTTTAGGTCCTCCTCAGAAGCATCCTTGTCCAATCCACCAACAAATATCTCAAACTCCTTGCGCTTACGCCGTTCCTGGACAACATCTCGATGTTCTTCTTCTTCTTCCACATCAGCGGTTTCAGCATGCTCGGCTTCATCCTCGATATGCTCATCATCTCCTTCACTATCAAGCTCCTCAGGGCCATCCGCAATCTCGTCCTCTGCAAGGTCACCTCCATCATCTTCAGCCTCGATCTCCTCCTCCAGTTCTTCGTCGTCTTCATGAGCATCCTCCTGTTCTAATTCTCTCTCTTCAAACTCTTCCCCACCATATTCTTCAGGTTCATATTCTGTTTCATTGTCATCCAAATCCAACCTCTCATCTTTCCCATATTCATCCATAGAATCCTTTGTCTCATCCTCCTCTGCGATCAAAAGGCGAGTAAAACACCCAGACAATTCAAGGTAAGATAACGTTTGTTCAGGCTCAGTACCCCTCGAAGATACATTTATCTTCCTCCGAATTTAAAATAGATTCACCAAAATACATCTCATCCAAAATTTAATGGTCATGTATTCAAAATCATTCCGAAAGGAATCAATCTCCGTACGAATTAGATTCGTGATAACCAACGAGGGCAGAGGACACGACTTAGACAGCGAAAGCACCACAACCAACAATAACCCACTTGTAACCGGATTGAAAGAAGCTTACTTTTCAATGAAACATCGCCGTCCGCATTCGATCCGCGTTCAGCCTCCGCAGCATCGCCATGGAAATCCGATTGCGTCTGCTCATCAACAGGACTCTCTTCCTCGACAGATTTTTCCTCCCCACGTATCTCTTCCTTCGCCTCCACGGCATCGGAACCCAAAGGCTCCTCGATCTTCACTATTTCTTCACCGGCGGATTCAGGCGGCGGGTTCAGGGCCTTCCGAGTCGATCTCGTAACCCGACCGCCCCTCCTGGCGGCCGCCGCAGCCCCCCCTCTCTTCACAATCTTAGGCGGCATCTTCTCTGTCTTTTCCCCAAATCTGACCAACCCTACGAGTGATTACAGTTCCAAAGACGAACCCACCACAGGAAATATCAACCCTAATCCGAAATTCGAGCTAACGATGATCGAATTGGAAAAAGGCAAGAGCTTGACCAAAATAACGGGTCGACGATGATATAATGAAATCGCGCGAGAAACCCTAAAGCCCCGGAGCAGTAAGCGCTTATTCTACACACACAAAAAAAAGGAAAAAGAAAGAGAAAAAGATACTTAAGAAAAAGACGTGGCAACGTAGAAAAGTCGGTGTAAAACGTGGCGGTAGAAACCTCGAGTGCCAACCTTAATCCACGGTAACGGTTTACCATTTATAAGGACCAACTGAAATTTTCCTCGGTAAAATCAGATATGTATCCAATTCACTCATTTATGTAAACACTCTCTCTTATATACATACACATGTATGTATATGCATGTATTAATACGTCATCATATGATGTAAAAGTGAAGGGGAAAGCGAGAAGCATAACTTCATTTGCATTCATTTACAATACGAGAGTTGGCTTACAAATTATACAAAGCACCCTCTACTGCTACTTCCATCTTCAAACTCCTCACAGTGACACCAATGGCCAAAAAAAAAAAAAAAAAAGCTGCAGACTTTATCCGCAAGAAGCGGAGAACACGCTTAGAAGATCAAGAAAAGGGAAACCCAGATCGAATTGTAACTCAGACGTTTGTTCAGAGGGGTTGATAAGTGGAATTCGATCAAAGAACACCACAGAATCCTCCTTGCCTTCTCTTCTGTTTCTTTGGCTTTGAAGGGTGGAGTACTACTTTTATAGCTGCATCGAAAACTGCTTTCACGCTCTGCAATGCCAAAGAGATTATCATCATCCTATCCATTCAGCTAAAGAAAATCTGATAGGGGTGATGAGGGATGAGATGAGGAGACCGACCTGTTGTGTTTTCGAGCTGCATTCAACATATGCCAATGCTCCTATCTGCTTCCTTAGTTCCTGACCCTGAAAGATGGAGAGTGGTGTCAGAAAAACATTCAGCGTCAAGTGGAAATTGGTCCTGTGTTGTTGCGGTTGATCTCATCTCACTTGCAACTCTCAGAGAGTTTTATAACATTGAAGGAAAACACATCTAGTTTATGAATGGTGAGCATGAATTATAATATCTCGGGAAGAATCAACGCTATGGTACCTGTTCTGTAGAGATCGTGCAAGCTCCTGGATAGCTCATTAGGAACTGTTTGTCTTCTCTGAGATCTGCAACCCAAGAGGTTTCGTTTTATGTTTACTGGTAATAGCATGCTTCTGTCTGAAAAACTAAGGTTGATCACTGCACAAACATGCATCCATGTACACATGTTTGAGTAAACCAGAATGCAAGAGGGATAGGCAAGGGGGGGGGGGGGTCTCCTACTTCAATTTCATTATGGTCCAAACCCGACACGTAGTTACTAGTAAGCCAAGCGTTTAGAGAGACTGATAACTTCACCAGGAAGCAATGTTGTAACCAAGATCTGAAATGGCAAGAGAAAGATTTCTTTTTTCACCTAATTTCGTCCCCACGAGAACAATGGGCACTGATGGAGCGTAATGTCTCAGCTCGGGGACCCACTGCAAAAGAGGAGCGGAAAGCAAAGCAGATTAAGGCATCCACGAGACAAAAGGGAAGATGAGGAGGAATTAGCTGTTGCAAACATCAGTCATGAACCATGATGAAGAGAAAGAAAGTCTTTTAACCTTTTTGGCAATGTTCTCAAAGCTAGGCCTGCTGATGAGGGAGAAAGCAAGAATGAACACATCTGCTCCTCTGTAACTCAGAGGTCTCAGTCTATTGTAATCTTCTTGTCCTGCATTATACATCAACCACTACCAATTGGATCAAACCCTGAAACCTCTGAACAAGCACCAGAAATCAACAGAGAAGACTCAATCGGATGAATTCTGGATAATCTCATTCCAGCAAATGACAGTCAAGAACCAACCAAGGCAAAACCTTTACAATAGCAGATAATTAGGGGGTGAAGTGTAGATATCAAGGTTGAAAGCCCGACAGCTATAACCCATTTCAGTTGCTCAGAATCTACAGTATCAACACAATTCCCCTAATTTTGGAGTAAAGCTCATCACTTTTGCATTGCTGAGAATCTCTATCTACTATTCAGAGAGAAAAAGATCAAAACTTTGATGAACAAGATTAACAAAGAATGTTTAACCAAAAAAGATTAACAAAGAATGGCATACCGGCGGTGTCCCAGAGGCCCAAATTGACAGTTTGCCCATCGACCGAAACATTTGCGCTGAAATTGTCGAACACAGTGGGAACATAATCCTGTAGTACAGAAAGGCACCAACCATCAAACCCAGAAAGCCATGACCATCACAAAAACAGTCATAGAAATTACGAAAAGAAAAACAAGAAACTGAAGCGTGTAAGAAAACGATGCAGACAGTGGGGAAAGTGTTGCTGGTGTAAGAGATGAGAAGGCATGTCTTCCCAACAGCTCCATCTCCAACAGTGACACACTTTATGAACCTCGTTGCTGCTGTTGCAGCCACTGAAGCTGTTGTTGTGGTGGTCATCCCACTTGGTAAAGCTCAAACCTTTGCTTCTCGCTCTCTCTCTCTCTCTCTGTTTCTGTTATGGTGTGGACAGAGGGATGAAGAAGGAGAAGAGGAGCAAAATTTTTGAAAGAGGGAAAAAGGAAAGAGCACTGTCACTCAGCACTCCTCGAACTTTAATTTGAGCTGTCAGAGAGGCAAAAGCCAAAAGCCTAAATCTTTTTGGTGGGTTTGTTATTTCCATTTTTGAGTAGAGTTTTGCTTTACCCATTTCTTTCCTTTGAAATTTAGACGTGAGGTACCCTACCCTTAATTTTTTTCCCTGCTGGTGAGGCCATTTCCCATAAATTCCTAAGCAAATTGCATATGATCACCAAACGCCATCATTAACAAGAAGGCAAAGGTGATTCCATTATTACCATTATCTTACCCCAAAAGAAACCAAAAACAGAAAATGTTTAGATTTTCTTCCTTCCTAGGATGATAATATTATGATTTTTTTTAATTGGAAAAAGATTACTTCATTTCCGGAATAACAGGGCCAACATGCTTAGGCCCAATTTTAGCCCAATGGGCTCCATTTCAATAAATAATTTAAAAATTGGAAAAGGAGAACAAAACAGCAGCTAACAGAGAAGAAAACACAGGGAACCAATCAAAAAAAAGAAAAAGAAAGAGGAAAGGATATAAAAAAAACCCTAGCTTTCTCCGTCTTTCTCCTTTCTCCCACCAATTCACGCGCAGAAAGTCAGAGACTTTGTGAATCTAATCTTAAAATTTTCATACTTTCCTTCCTGGGGAATCGACTAATGTACAAGGACCGAGGCGGAGGCGGAGGGTCGTCGAGATCGGAGATCCTCGGCGGCGCTCTTGATCGGAAACGGATCAATGATGCTCTCGACAAGCACCTCGAGAAATCTTCACCATCCACATCCAGGGTTTTCGCCTCTAAAGATAAGGATCATTTCTCCTTCCCTTCCACTTCCACTGCTAAATCTCAGCCGCCCGATCACCGCCATTCTCGCTCACCCGATGGTTTGTTTGTCGATTCGCAACTGTTCCTTCTCACTCTGTAGTAGAAACTGGTGTTTTGAATTCCTTGTTTAAAGTTCTGATTGATTTGTTGTTGCGTTGATTTGAAGTGGGATCGGAGACTGATAGCGAAGGATCGGATGTTAGCGGTTCCGACGGAGATGATACGTCGTGGATCTCGTGGTTCTGCAACTTGCGAGGGAATGAGTTTTTCTGTGAAGTCGATGAAGATTACATACAGGATGACTTCAACCTATGCGGCTTGAGTAGCCAAGTCCCCTACTATGATTACGCTCTTGATCTCATACTTGATGTTGAGTCATCGAACGGTACTCTCTCTCTCTCTCTCCCTCCACTCTCTCACTCTGTATAATGCAAGAGAAATGAGTTTATCTCGCTGAGATTTATCGGGTGCTGTGAACTGCGTTATCCTTAGGTGATATGTTTACGGAAGAACAGAATGAGATGGTGGAATCCGCCGCTGAGATGTTGTATGGTCTTATTCATGTCCGCTACATTCTGACCACCAAGGGAATGGCTGCCATGGTAGACTGCTTCCAACTACTAAGCAGCCAGTTTTTTCTTCGGCTGTTCTCATTACTCTGTTTAGTGGTATGCGGTTCTCTGTTGTTAACCACTTATTTGCTAATCTCTCCAGTTAGAGAAGTATAAGAACTATGATTTCGGGAGATGCCCGCGTGTTTACTGCTGTGGACAGTCGTGCCTTCCAGTCGGGCAGTCTGATATCCCGAGATCAAGCACCGTGAAGATATATTGCCCGAAATGCGAAGACATATACTACCCGCGATCCAAGTACCAAGGCAGTATCCTTTTTCTCAGATTTTGCAGCAATCTGGCATCTGTTATCTTGTTCATGTTGGTGAAACCTGTTGCTTCGTTTGCATTTGATCCAGTGAAAGGCTGAGTTCATCAAACATTATATGCTCTCTGCAACTTCTGCATGTCACATAGATACAGTTGCAGAATACCGCATTAAGGAAAAGCATATTCATCTTTGTGGTGGCATGACTGTGCATAATCTTTGTAGGACACGAGAGTTTGGCTGAGTGGTTCCTTAAGTAGTTTTTTTTGTAGACATTGATGGAGCCTACTTTGGAACAACTTTTCCAAACTTGTTCCTGATGACATATGGGAACCTAAAGCCTCAAAAGCCATCACAGAACTATGTCCCTAGAATTTTCGGCTTCAAGGTACACAAATCATGATGATATTCTGGCCAGCCATGATCATACAGTTGGTGGCTCGACCTTCTTCTGCATAGACAATCACACTGATTCGAGTGGAACACGCCACGTGATTCAAGGATGAGAACTAGGAAGAACATGAGGTTGAGTTCCTGATGGAAGCTCGGAATTGCCCACAAACTGTTCAACTGCTTGTTTGTTGGAGAATAACTAAAAAAAGGTGGTTGGATGTTAAGAATTCTTTCCCTTTGGGAATTTTAATCAATTGTTTGTATGGTGGTTTCCATTTTGGATGGTTGGATTCTTTTACTTCTTTGTTTACTTTCCCAGCAAATTTTGGTTTGTGTAATGTTGGCAAGTTTCTTATGTTACTCGGAACAAAACCGTAAAATGATCAAAGGTCTGATCTCTTACATTTCTGATCCTGTCCCTACCGTCAAAGTTTATTATCATATCTCCCTCAATGCCAATCTACAACGAATCAAACTATGCTAGAAAAACCAACCCTTTTGTGCTTGCTTGGAAATTTCCATCATGAAGGTTTAATATGTGATCAAGGAATAAAATCTAAAAGGGGAAAAAACAGAAGGCGAACACTGCTAATATTAACCCTCCAGATACCTCCCTTTGTCCAAATGAGTGAAGCGCTAGAGACAAGAAGCAATATCCCCTCACAATTTGATCACAGTGCTCTTTCACTAAGTAAACTTGTCTAATATCTTCGACCGGTTTGGCTCCCTTGGTTTGAATTCCTCGAGCCGCAAACCCGAATTTCGACGTATCTCATCGAACGCAGCCTCACCCGTCTCGGATTTTATTGTCTCCATGGCACTCCCGATGACATCGCCTCCTAGCCCGAGCTCTACTATGCTTCCTGGCTCCTCCCCTCCCTCTTGTATCAACCGCCCAATCTCTGCCAAGGGGACTACCTTCTCAGTCACGACCTTGCCCAAGATTCTCCCGAGAAACTCTGCTGCTCTGGGAGCATCATTGACAGCATCCTCGAGAGTTGTCAGAACAGATTCAAACCTGAGACAATTGGTGGCACGATTTAAGAAATGTGGGTCGGGGAAAAAGGTACAATTGAGTGACAAGGGCACTCAGGTGTCAAGGTGTCAATCTTTTGCATACCCTTTCACCAATTGGCCTTCACTTATGGTGCCATCAGGAGATTTCACAAGATTAATGAGGAGCTTAGCTAAAAGATCCCTTTCCATATCCTTTCTCTCGAATGAATCAGTAACCCAGAGAGAAATCATTGTTGGGTGAAAGCCGGGCGAGTTTAGGTCTGTGATGCATAAACCAACCTCCTTCTCATCTCGGGCACTGCACATGATAAAACAGTCCTCATATAACATCTTGATTGATACTAAATAAGAGCGTCTATGTAAGTGGACAAGTTTAGATATAAAGTCAGTATTACGAAGCAGTGACCACAATTTTTCAAAATAGGATCAAAACATGCAAAATCTCAGTAATGAAAAAAATCCACAATCTCAGGTGGACATATTGGCAATAGAAAGACATTAACCTGCAGATGAATGAGACATAAGTTCTTGCAATTACGACCTCAGGTTGTCAGAGTCTGACATACTATTAGATGCAGCAGTATCAAACAACTCTGAGACAAACAAAACAAATGGAGAGCTGGAAAGAAGAGATTTACCTGTAAAATTCCTTAATTGCTGCCATAGACATATCATGTAGGCGTTCCTCTGACAAAACGTTTTCAGTTGAAGATACATCTTGTCTACGCATACCGGATGAAGCTCCTAAAGACAGATCAGAATCAAGAGCAGGACCTGCAGAGTCCCTAATACCATGACTAGGGCCCTGCTCTTGAGAACTTGACCTAGATCTTCCATAAGCAGCAGGACTTGCAGGTCTATGTGGGCCAAAACCATTCAAACCAGCAGGTGCTCGGCTCAAATCTCCACTGGTCGGAGATATATCAGACTGTGAAGCACTTGATGACGCTACCGCTGGTCTTCTAAAGGACATTCCTTGACCAAGACCACCTTGGGGACCCAATGTAATAGACTCCCCACCTAATGTCCTTTGAGGCATTGGAACTGTCCTGCCGTCATAAAGTGTTCTCTCCTCAAACCGAGCATCCTGATTACCAAAACCACGGCCTTGAGGTAACCCATGATAGTTACCTATTTGAGCACCAGGAGATGCCAGCATGCCTCCTCTTGGACCAAAGTCGGAAGGACCCTTTCTCATTGAAGAACTGATGGGCCCACGTGTAAGCCTGCTAGTTTGAGTGTGACGTTCTTGAGCAGCATCTCTGTGCACTTCCTCAATTTTCTTTGGGCCCTCGACTTTCCTTCTTTGCTGCCATTTGTTCTTTCTCAGATCAATGGAATCCTTCAACATGAACCTCATTCTGGAAGACAGTTCTTGTTTGTTAGACAGCATTGTCATTTTCCCAAAGTAAGCATCTATTAATGCCTTTGCTTTGGGCTGGTCAATCATCTCTCCTATCGTGCTCATTAATTTACACAGAGCCTCAATATTCTCCTCATCGGGATCCTCAGAATACCCGAGCAACTCCTTGATGCATTCATGCATGATTTTCTCAGTCAACATCCTTTTCTTGTACAATTCACCGATAAGTCTAATGTTACCCAGCATTCTCCGTCGAGCCTTAAGTCTCTTTTCTTCTCTTTCCACGCTTGTTTGTTTTACTTCTCCTTCTTCAGCTCTGCTAGCTTCATCTTCTTCTCTTTCCCCCCTCTCAAATTCTTCTTGGCATTTGTTAAGAAGCAATCTTTTGAAGGTAATCTTTTCGCCATTCTCAGTAAAATCAGGCAACTTACTCGACAGTTGCTGGCAGAAATCTGCATACATCTCACAGAAAGTAGGCTCCATTAAGGCTTTGTCAAATATCTGTGAAATGACACCCTTTAGTGTAACAATATTTTCGATGTTAACACTTTTCACTTGCTCAAACAGTTTTTCAAAGTTTTGAGGGGTCAGCTTGTTTAAGATGCCCTTCAACTGTCTTTGCTTGGCCTCTTCTTCATCAGCCACTTTACCAACTTCATATTTCTTCTCTGCTCTGTGCATCACCTGTAGCGGAGTATGCGGAGAAGGAATCAAACCTTTTTGCTGGAAATTAGCAGCACGTTGCCACCTTTCAGCAGACTCGGGACTATTTCGACCCATTCCTCCAATGGGACCCACAGATTGCATCGCTCTAGAAATTATAGGTGCCTGCACACGCGGGTTTTTTAAAACTCCTGAGTTTCCTCCTTGACCAGGTCGGAAACCTACATTACCTCCATATCCTGAACCAAAAGAACCAGGAGTCTTCATCCATCTATCATCAACAAGCACATTGCCAGAGCGTCGATCTAATCGGGAGGCACTTCCTTGTCGATCCATAACTTTTCCGGGGCTACCATAAGAATCGCGTCCAAGATGAGATGCACCCACATTAGCACAGATCAGGAGATCTGCAATATCAGGCATGACCTCAAAGCCCTCGGGAAGAGAAGTACACTGATCTGCAAACTTAAGGAGGAAGTCCCGGGAGTACTTCTTTTCCATGCTCTCATAGATGTCTTTGAATTCGTCTCCTCTCTCTGCATTGACAGCATAATCTGCAGATCCCAAATTTGGCGAGGAGACATCGACAGCATCCTCCCAGTCTTCTGGTTCATTTTTCACCTGTGCAACTGCCTTGGGGGATTCAGCAACAGCATGATGTCCATGGACAAGTGCCTGTCTAGGGTTTGAAGTATCACTGCTCTCTGAAGGTGTTGCTGCTGTCTCTTTCTTTTTCTCAGGCCCTTTGTAAGCCATGTAAAGGTCAGATGTTGTGCCCGCAGCATCTGCTTTTTGAAGAATCTCCTTTTTCTTCTTCTTTCCTCTGGAAGTAGTATTTTTTGTCATGTTTGATTCAAAAGAGTGATCGGAGGGAACATTTGAGCACTGTGTATCAGCAGAATGTAAAGACACAGAGCTCAAATTTCCTGTAACATAAACTTTTTCAGAACCTGGACATTCACTGGAGGTACCATCCATCCCACCATGTGCAGTTCCATTCCCCGGGGCGCTACAATTGCTCATTGGTTCATTTGAATCATTCCTTAGTTCCACACATTTCGAATCGGGTTGTTCCACAGAAATTTCTGACATTTCAGTGTGCTTGTCAGTCACACTCAGATCACCTCCAACATCGATTCCTCTAGCATCACGAATTCGCTCCAGCGGAGAACCACTAATCTCTGAGGAAACAGGGGTTGAATCTTCCACAAGTCTGTCTACATTTGAGTATGGTTTGTCAGAAGCCGAATTATCAGAAGTAGAAGACTCCTCAACCAGTTCCTCCCCAAGCCCATTGGTAGGTGGAAGCGATGGATCTTCCTTAGGATTAATTGTTTCAGAAGTTAACTGATCAGAGGGTAGACCATAATCAGAAATCTGAGGTTCTTGATTAACCTGGCCAATATCCTAGGAGGCAACACCAGAAAATCTCTTTAGAATGTAAACAGAACATAACAAATATAAAATATCACAGAACAAAAACACAATGATGTACCTCGTTTGAAGGACGAGGCGATTCCTTCTTGCCTGTTTGCTTCTGGTGATCTTCAATAAGGTTTGACTCATCCACCGTCTCACCTAGTCCGGTTTCAGTTTTTGCAACTGGAGCATTCTCCCCAGATGAAGTAGCGGGAGGAGCAAATGAGGTGGATACCCCGGAGACAGATCCAGGTTTCATTTGCTGTGAAGAGCTCATAGAACCAGAATCCACATTCTTTTGTGGATAAGAAATGTTAACTTCCCCAGATGACCTCATTACTTGAGGTGATCCGAGTTTTTCAGAAGCAGCAGCTGGCTTCACCGTTACCTTTGCAGTTGCAGGTGCACCAGATGAAATTGCATATTGTGAATCGCGTTCATGCGGCGCAGATGAAGAAACAGAAGAACTACGAGAAGGGGCAGTGGGTCTGATTAGTTGTGATGAGCTATGAGCAGATTGATAGACAACTTGTCCACTCTGAGAGCCTTGAGCTGGAAAATTAAATCTTGGTGCTTGGGAATTGGATGTCATCGGGCTACTGTTTAGCGGTACAGAAACAGGGGGGAACATGGCGTTGGTGTTATATGAGCTCTGCATATAATTAACTGGGCGAGGAGCAAAAGATGGTACTGGCTGGGATCTTGGAGGCATATTGGGATGAATCGCAGCCACCGATCTACTGTCTGAATAATTATCGCCTCGCCGGTCAAGCCTCAGCTCCTCATGTGTGTCAGGATGAGTAATCTTGACAGGAGTGACCTTACGTTGTCCACCAAATTTTCCTCCATGCTGCTCATGATGTGGGCTCACACCCACACCCACACCCACACCCATGTGACCTAACTGAGGATGAATCTGAGCACCAATAGGAGTTGCAAAACCCATTCCCTGTGCCTGATGCATCATACCCTGATGAGGCATCGGGTGAGATTGTAGACCTTGAAGAAACATTTGCTGCTGAATTTGTGGAGTATTTCCCATAGATAATGCCATAGGCATTGGCATCTGAAATGGGGTGGCAGAGACATTCTGAGGCGGCAAATGCATATTTGGGCCACCAAAATGCACAGGATGAGGAACCTGAGGATGCTGATAAGGAGTCTGCACAGAAGGCATCCGAATAGGTAAGCCGGTGGGCTTTTGAGTCGGACTTGGAGGGGTAACATGTGCAACCTGAACATCCCTTTTTTCCTTAGCTGTTGCATGGGCTTCTTTATTGATGGAATGATTATCCATAACCTTATTTGGTAAATCTTGCTTAAGGACAGGACTTGGCGGATCTGGCACTTGCTTAAAAGAACTTTGGTGCATCTGCAAGTAAAGATAAAAGCCATCAAAACCCATTTTAAGAAAATATTCTATCAGAAACTGGCCGGGCTATCAACCAAACCAACACAAGATCATCATGCGTTTCGAAACATAAAAAAATGTGTAAGACACAAGCTATCCATCATCATGCAAGCAAGCAGGAACTGATCCAGGTAGAAAACAGTCCCATTGATGGCAGAGAGAAAAAGACTAAGGTGGACCTGCGCATGTTTCTGCTCATCCAAATTTGGTGGCGCTGAGCTAGTTCGAGCAGGAATCTACAAAATCAATATAAAAGCAGAACCTTTAGGTGCTGATAAGCGCATCGAATAAAATAAAGACACACTAGGATCTCCAATGAAAGCAAAGAAAGAAGCAGACAACAAACTAAATTCAGAAGTAGATGGTGTACCTTCATTAAGTCAGGACCAAGTGATCCAAATTGGAAAGAAAATGCTTTAGATGCATCCGCGGAGGCTGCCACAATACACCACAACCATTTACGTTAACAGAAACGAGTACTTTCAGTTATGCTCTTCAAATACAATGCTCTGTACACATATAAAAAGAAATGCAAAACAGGCCTACCCTTAGCAGGGGCTGACGGCTCATTGGTCTTGGAATTAACGGTGGAAGACTGAGAAGTTGGAGCCTTTGGAATAGCTCGGATGCTTCTGCCGGTAGAGTAAGAATCGGTTTGATTGGTGGCTTCACTAATAACTGGTTCATCATACAGACACTGTAAGAGATCTGGACTAATAGAACTCGGCCCAAGAGAATCCTCCAGCAAAGTATCCAACTTTCATCGGATTCAAGGGACCGTTTTAATAATTTAAAATGAGAGACAAAAATGCAGGGAATGTGAAACCCCATTATTGAAGTCATACCCTGAGACCGAGACTGTACATTGGAACCATTCTGACAGTCAGGAGGAAGAGGAGCGTCCTTGGAAACCGAATGATTAGCAGGCGACAAATTCACCCGAGACTGCCCTCCTAGAACATTGCCTGGCTTCTTAAAGCTGACAAGAAGAAGACACGAGACACACCGCCAAACAAATCAACAAAACCACGACACAAGATTTCAAATTTTCGCATCACGATTGTTCGGACAGAGGCCTAAATTCGAATTTCAAAACAAAACCCCATCGAATCGAATACCTGCGATTCGAGGAAAACGACGATGCAGAGGATACTGAAGAGTCGACGGCAGAGGGACGGGCGGGCGCGGAGGCTGCGCTTCCGCCGCCTTTACCGTAACCGCCGGAGGCTGATCGCTGCTGCTGCTGCTGATGGTAACCGGCCAAACGCCCAGTTCTCCGGTATTGTGTGTCACCTCTGTCGGACCTCGATTGATTATAGGACATATATACGGAACCCTAATTTGCTCCTTTGAAGCTTAATTTTACAGCTCCGTGCTGGAGTGAAACGCTACACATACGAAATTAGGGTTTTATTGGACGGAGATGAACTGAGGACGAAGAGAGAGAGAGAGAGAGAGAGAGAGAGAGAAAGGAAATGGGAAAAAAAAACTAAATAGACGAAGAGAGAAAAGGAAAATAAAAGTGTGAGCTTGGAAGTGGCTGTGGAGTAAATAAGGGAAAGCAATAGGGGCAATATAGGGAAACAAATTAAAAATGACCGAAACTTCGGTTTGGTCAACGAAAAAAAGTAGGGCTTCGAACGGATGCGGAGATTTTCTCAAATGCAAAAATATTTGAAGCCATTTGGCTTTCATATAGGGATGTATTTTTTCCACCAAATCCTTTATCACTTTTAAGAATTATTATTATTATTATTATTATTTAAATTAATTTTATCAATATACTGATTTTCCCGAGTTTCTTGATGACGTGGACGTAGCCAATTCATATGCCCAAATGAGAATCTAAAAAAGGCTTCGCATTGGGCTTATTATCGGCCATTTAATCTAAAAAAAAGTCTATTAGGCCCATACTGCAAAAGCCCAAGACTAACTTACCAGAGAATTATAGCCGCTCCAAGCTTTAATTAATTAATCTAATTATAAAAGAAACGATTGGTTACCACGTCAAAAATTAATTACGGACTAAATAAAAAGGTTGTGTTTTTTTTTTTACATTAGACGTCCTTGGAGAAATCCCAACAAAATCGCTCCGCCTTATGATGAAAGCATAATATACGCGAGAGAGAAAAAAAAAATGATAGAAAACTCCCGACGGAGAATTGCGACTCCGATCATTGAGACGACGCAAAACTGGAAGCCGAGAAAAATCATAGAGTTCTCCGACAAGATCGGAACTGGCCGAGAATTGTACAGAAGTGTCTGGATTCACTAGAACGACAGCTTGGAAATAATACACGCGACAATATTAGCTAATGACCAAAGTTCTGAACTCGAATCCAAGGGAAAACGCCTTCTTTTATGGTTGTTCTTGGTGATTTTTTGTCACTCTTCTTCGATCATATGTGGATCGAGAAACGTTTCATCGCAAGATAAAAACTCACTTTTAACAGAGAGAGAGAGAGAGAGAGAGAGAGAGAGAGAGAGAGAGAACTTTCAGAGCCAACGATTTGGCATCTCCATCGACCTCTCTTGATTTCTCAAGCTCCATATCAATATACAGAGAGAAAATCTAGAAGCTCTCATATCGGATATCAGTCAGATTCTCCGAGTGCTGCTACTTCCCCACCCATTTAGATCCCAAAACGATTCAGAAAGGGAAAAAAAGATTAAAAAACAAAACTTTTGCAGACAGACAACCATAAAGCTTCGAGGAGGAAGTGTTGCTTCTTGATATATGTATGTATATAACATAACTCAGGCCACCACGAGAGTTCCTGTCCGTACGTTTTTGCCGGAAGCTGAATCTTTGGATTCCGCCGATTTCCGGAGAGATCTGGCAGATTTCTTCCTGCTCCTCTCCTTGGCTTCATCTGACTCTATCTGTTCCTGTCTGCAGTCTTCGCTACAAAACGCCGTGTCGCCTCTGCAAAATTCACATCCCAAAACCACCCATCAGGAAAAATCATCACCATAAACAACTCTAACCCTTCTCCTTCCCGGACTGGAGATATTTTTTTAAAAAAAGGCAAGAACTTTAAACCAGTTTCCCAGATTTTCCATGTGATTAAGGGAAAACAGACCGAGCTCGCAAAACCCATGTCCCAGAATTCGATTTTGGAGTCTAAGCTTGTCGGATCAAGGACAAAGAAGCAGTACCTGTACATGTAGATGTCGGACTTAAGACCAAGGGGCTTGCGGCAGAGAGAACATGATTCAAGGAAGTGTGGCTCCTCGTTTCCAAAGAGCCCGGCATAGTACGAAGCCATCTCTAATCTCTCAGACGGAAATTATCGAGAGTTCTCGATCAGATTCGAAAACCGTGGAGCAAAATGAATCGCTGCGTGTGATTCGATTCACGGAGAAAGAGAGAGAGAGACGGTGGAGAAGGTGAAAGCAGGTGGACTGAATTGGCAGTTTATAAAGCGGCTTTCGGGGTCCTTGGGTTGACTTGATACGATCCTCTGCATCGCAGTCCATTGCAGCTCCGCTAGCCCACTCAGTCATAACCGTCCATCGGCACCTGATTTCGATCTGAACATCAAATTTCTTCTTCTGGCCAGATTAACTAATTCTATTGTGTTTGTTACGCTAATGCCTTATTAACAAAAATATATATATATAGTCGTCATACAATTTATTGAACTACTTTGGTCTTCTGTATTTATTGCAATCGAATATTTTGCAGCCATATAGCCCTTGTAACAATAATATTTTTCATAGATCGTTTTCCCTAGATCGGTCCATTTAATTCGAAGTTAATACAGAAGGCGATATTAGCTCGTGAGTATTGGAAAAGCTTCGGTATGCATACATTTTCAATGTTGTGTATACACCGTCATCGCAATAAAATAATACCCAAATATATATATATATATATATATATAACAATATTTGGGTGGATCTCGTTCGTCCAATGCATCAAATGGACAAAAAAACAATTTCTATATCTCCACCATGAGATTCGTTGCCAGCAATAACATGCATATCGAATGGTGGGTCGGCTTTTCAATAAAATAAATGAAAGTTCTCGTTTTAAATCTATATATATTAATAATTGTGTTTAAAGAGATGTGGTGAAGCCACCTCATCTCCATGTCATTATCTATGTAGCATTTGTTTTAATCTATTTTGATTGTAAACCTCATTTACTATATATAAATTGATTGATCTACTATTAATTTTTGTTAATTATCACTCATTTTTGTTTTGCATATGAAAAAATAGATATCAATAACAATACTATTATAGTTAAAGAATAGATAAATTTTCATATTTTTTATATAAAAATGTCTCTAACACTAACTATTACAGACCCTTCTTCCGGCTTGCAGTATGTGGCTCCAGTCTGTAATAGGTTGGACCCGAATCACTACACCATATACGTTATCGGCCTGCAAGGAAAGCTCTTAAATATGAGAACGGAAAGCATTATAAGGTATCCTTCAAATATAATATATTTTCTCAGTGAGTATATGAAATGCATGATCTGTCAAAGTTGAACAGAGAACCAAAGAAGATTATATACGTTAGCGAAAATGCATTTGAAAATGCGTTCTTCGACTTTTGTGTTTTCATCGGTTTGTGCCGCCATCGTCGTCGCTTAAACCTCATCGAATCCCTCTTTTCTAAGATTAGAGAGAGGCAACGAACCGAAGAAGTGATGGTTATTTTTTCCATATGGAGGCTACACTGGGTTTTGGTTGTCGCTTCAGGTTTTGCGACAATGGTTAATTTTGTTTGGTCAAGATTTATATTTCAAACTTTTTTGATATATTTATCTTCTAGGTTATCAGTGCAGTATTGAACCATATAATAAAGGATCAAACATCATTCACCGTAGAGAAAACTACAAATCTACCACTGGATTGTTTTAAGATCATATCAAGGGAAGCAAAATCGAATGGCAAAGAGAACGACGTTAGGAAGCCCTAAAAACAACGACAATGAAGTTGGATATAATCTTCTCCAAAGCCGGTTTTATTTTGCTTTTTATTGTTTTATTGTTTTGGTTTGATTAATTTCGGTTAAAGTATGGTTAACCTTTTGAATAAATAGGAGAAGAGTTGGTCTTTATTTTTAATAGTTAAAAGAAGACATATTCTTTAGGTAATGGATAATGGCTAAGTGTTGAATCATTGTTGCCTCCATTTCCAAAAATCTATTTTTATACTTTAAAAAATGATACACTTCCAAGTTTCAACTTTATTATACAAAAATCTATTTTTTTAGTTTTATTTATATTTTGAAATGATAATATCTTGAGAATTGAATTTATGTTAAAATAAATTAAAAACAAAAATTTTATATTAGAGATATGTACATTTTTTGAATATAAAAACCAAAAAAATCCTTACGTCACAAAATCAACCTAATTGACATTTTTTTATTAGGTTATAAAAATGGTCTTTTAGTTATAATAACATGAAAAATAGTTTTTTTTTAAAAAAATGGTGATGTATATAATAGCCAAAAAATAATTAGATTATTATAATTAAAAAAGGGAAAATTAAAAAGAAAATTAAAAAACGTATCAGACCACTAAAATGATGTATTTATTAGTAATTAGATTATTTTAATTAATAAAAGGGAAAAATTAAGAAGAAAATTAATAATAAAAACGAATGGGTTCTGAAATGTCGTATCTATTAATCTAATTTTGCTAATTAATTTCAATTTATTATAATGTTAATGGTTTGTATATCGTGGATTTAGTGGGGTAAACATAATAAATTTATACAATATTATATCTACGGAACAACCATGGATCTCAATTTAAAAAGAAAGGGTGGTGGAACAAACTAATAGGTCAGATGAAGAAGAGAATTTATGAATGGCTATACCTATTTTCAAAAGGAGAGTTCTTTCTTCTCACCCTTCCAGCAGGAAGGGACGGCTCCATGTCATTGTCAATGGAAGACACATCAATTCTTTTCCTTACAAAAACCGTGAGGATCTAATGAAAAAGTTTCTTCATTTTCATTCTCTAACCTTCTGACAAAATTTAACATTGACAATTATGGTTTCAGAGTTTTGTTCTTGAGGATGCTATTGGCTTAGCAATCAAGGGCAACATTGACGTTCAATCTATATTTGTTGATTCAATGTCCTTTACCAACCCGACTTTTGCTCCGCAAAAGCATCTTGAGATGCAAAGCATATGTAAATCCCCTCCATTACTGGAAGGACCCGTTGATCTGTCCATCATGTTTTTTTTTTGTATGAATGCTGGTCACATAGGAAGAGAGAGATTATTTCATGCAAATCTGTGCTTATCATCATTTTGGAGCGAGAATATTAATTTACATGTCTGCTGTCAAGCTAAATCCACTGCTTTCTAATGAAGAAATTGAGACACGAAGACATCAAGGCAAAGGAGTAGAGGAATATGTTCTGTTGTTGCTTTTTTGTGTGTGTGCGCAAATAAAAAAGGGTGTTTAGTATCTTGAATGCAATGTGTTTTGTTTTGAAAATACTCTTTTGTTAAGGTTGTATTGTGTTTCAAATGTTTGTAATATTTCAACTCTTTATAGGTCGAACGATGTCCTGGGGCAAAGACTATTTGTGTATATATATACATACACATAGGATCCATCTCATCATCTACATTGCAAAATTTTAAAACCTCATTGGTTACTTAAAATCTTTATTAGATATATATATATATAATTTTATACTGGTGGGGTATTTTGAAGTTTGTTCGTCGAAAAATTTTGTTATCTGTTTAGAGTTTTTGAATCTGGTTTTCTTTTTCTTTCCTCTTTTTTCAGTTCGTATTAGAAATGAATTTACTGATAAATATTGATCTGGATTCCAATTATGTGATGCATGAGTTGAGACTGTCATCGAGACAACCATTCAAGAAATGTGCTCGCGTTGCTGGAAAGGAAAGGTGGAGATATCCTTTGGATTTGTTTCTCCTTTTCCGGTCGTAGGCTTCTGGTTTTGGTGGAATGTATGTCATGATGATGATGATGATATTGCATATTTACGTAAATTTTCTTTCCAACAACGCAAACCCAACAGTTGGTGGCCCAGTGGCTGAGAGATGGCAAAGTCATACTCGAGGTCATGGGTTCGATTCCACTGATGGGGAGGGATGTAATTTCTGGATCAAAATGGTCCATATACAAAGGCTGGTCCCGGACCTAGGGTGGATGTAGTCGAGCCGAAGGCCCGGGGAACCATCCTGGTTATCAAAAAAAAAAACAACTTATCCGGATGCCCAGATAAATTTGGCAAATGAGAATGTAATCCACTATTCAAGTAATGTTCTCTTTGCAGATATTGTTTAGTAATTCTCTATTCTACTGACTTCTTTTCATATAGGTATGTTTCCATACTACTACGATTTCTCCATTATCCAAGGCCAAGGAAGATGCAGATTCAATGTGTCGCTTTTATTTAAAGTTGACATGTTATTTTCTGGGGCTTTGTTTTTGCTTTTACTTAGAGTTATGTTTCACCAAGTGTTTCCCCTGACAGAAATTGATTTTGTTTTAATATATTAACTTTGCCACTTATTAGGTTGATTTTGTTTTATATTTTTTAATTCTCTTTCAATGTTTTAACTCCATTCTTAGATAATTTTGACAACTCCCAAAAAAGCCATCAGTTTTGTCTTCTGTTTCATTGCTGAATGGTGCTTCAGGGATTGTTGTAATATCATCTAAAAGTTTTAATATGAATTTTTAATTGTCTTCTTTTCGTTTTGTTGAGTCGGTTCTCTTGAAGAGTTTGAGAACATTTAACATTGTTTATGGGGGGATGGGAATCCCCCAATAATCTTGGAGAGTTATGCTTTAATGCAATCCAAATGCTCATCCTCTTTGTATTTGTCTTAATATGATTGTAGGACATGGTTGTACTATGTCGTAGGCTATGTTTTTTCAGCTGCAATAACTGTTGCAATCCATGCATGGGTCTCACTTTCTTATTGGGGGAATAATCATGAAAAGTATTTTTCTTTATTTTTGTCCCGAAAAAAATCTTTGCAAGTAAAATGTGGTTGTATGAGCTTATAAAAATTTGTTTTTTCTTTACTCTCATGCATGTTTGTTTGGTGTATTGAAAATATAAACATTTATTCTTTCCATACAAAATTTCTATTATGTACTTTTAATATCCATAAATATTATCAAAATATCTATAACCAATATATCAAACTTCCACTTGAAATCTCTTTTAAGAGTAATATTCAATTTTGAAATTATTTTTTTATAACTTTTAATTCAATATGAATTTTGTATATTCTATTATATTGTGTATAAAATAAAAACTGCACATTTCAAATGATTGTATAAAGTTTTACTTGGAAAATAAAAGTCACATTTAAATACTCTATACAGATAGTTTGATTTCATATTTTCATTTATGTTTTTATTTTATTTTTAAAATTCATTTCGATTTTAGTTTTCAAAACTATGGTCTAGACATTATGGATATGAAATTTGATCATTACCAAAGGACACACTTCGATGCCATGCTTTGGTAAAGAAAATGTCCGAGAATCACTTTTTCAAATCTATTTTTAAAAATATTGAGAGATCTTCATTTAGGGGTGGACATGGTGGACACAGATCGAATATCCAAAATTTTTAAAATATTTGTATCTGTATTTCTATCCGTATCCATACAAATACTAAATTTAATCATCCGTATCCAATTTTTAGTTTTCAAATATTTGTAAAAATAGAGGTATTTGCAAATATATGTATTCGACATAAAGTAACAAAACTGATAAATAAAATTACAAAAAACTTAAACACAAATAATATATATATATAATATCTATTAAATACAAATAATATTCACATTCAAGTGAAAAAAATTGTTTAAAATTTCAGGAAATCGTTTGTATGTCAAAAAAGAAAGTTAAAAACAAAATCACATTTTTTATGTGTAAGTAGAATACAAAATCGTTTAAAAAAATTAAAAATATATGAAAGGAATATGCAGATAGATAAAGAATGGGAAAACAAAAAAAAACTAGCATATATGTAATTTTTTTCAGAATTATCCTCATATATAAATTAATTACCAAATTAGCTATGTATTATTAATGTATAAAAAATACGGAACGGATTGGATATGCCAGATAATTCTATTTGGATATCCGTATTTTCTCTGTATCCGATAAATATTTTGAAACCAACGTGTATATGCTTATATATATATATATATATTTTTATTTCATTATTTGATATTTTTATATTCAATTATTTACTTTATTTTTATTGTTATTTTTAAATTTATTTTTAATTCTGTACAACAAAGAGAGTTTAAAACTTATGACACATCAAAATTTTGTATGCCCAATTGTCCATTATTTGATTAATAAAACCTTTTATAAAAAATCTTTCAGATGCAAATTCAATTTTAAATTAAATCGGTCAAACCGAAATAAAAAAGATATAGTTATCGATTTTATAAAATTAAAAGTAATAAAAAAGTTTATGAAAAAAACATAACCAAAATTTTAAAATGTATGTTAGCCATAAAAATTTTGAACGGACTACCAAAGGTTTTGTTTTTATTATAAATCTAATTAAAATATTATTATTTTGATTTACATAGAATATTAATATCTTAAACAATCTAAAACCAAAAAGGAGTAAACCAAAAAGAATTTATGACGATGAATACTATAAAAAAACACAAAAAAAAAATACAAAACAGTTTAAGACAAACTACACAACCTTCAAGTCTTAAAAATTTTACAAACAATATAATGATAATTTTATAATAATTTAATTTTACCGATATATTTATTTATATAAAAAAATTATATCAAGATAACTATATTCATATATCCTCCCATTTTTGAGTTAAAGGAGTGAATATTCTTTGATTAAAGGAATATAGAGTCAAAAACATTTAAAGAGAAAATAAAACATTTGAATGCTATATAAAAAATATAAACAATGAATTTCTCTAGGATGTTTTCATAATTTTTATGCAAAAAGTAAAAATTTCCATATTTTTATAAACAAAATAATGAATCTTTCATAATTTTTAATCTCCTTTCCGATTGATATTACCTAGCATTCTGGATTTTGAACTCAATCATTTGATTATATTTTCGGTTGTAATCAAATTGGATGGTTTTATATAGGTGAGTCAATCTATTATGATGTAAAATCTAACATTTATTCTGATTTTGTCTTTTGTCTATTTTTATGAACTCGAAATTGGTGTGTAAATTCATAGGCCAACCTTTGAATAAAATCCAAAAACATATCTCCAAATATGTAAATAGGAGAAAATCCACAACAAATTAGTTCAATGAGATAATTAGACTACATTTTAAAAATAAAAAATTAAAAATATATATTTTCTATTTCTCATGCTACAAATATATCATAAATAAACCACTATCTTTAACTGTACTTTTTTTAAAAAACTTTAATTATTAGTAGTTAATTATTAAAATTTATTTCTATTATATATCGTATTCGCAGTATCAATTAACAAAAATTGTCCATATTATCCAAAATTTTAAAATTTTATATTAAACACATTCATCAATTATTATTTTCAAATGCGATAATGAAATAGATAGCGTACGATACATCTACAATGGAAAATATTTATATTAATATTTAGTATCTATTTATTACACTATATTCAATATTGTATTTACCTTTTGTTTTATAACATTGCAAAATTTGAAAACAAATAATATTTTAGTTTATTCATATATATATATATATATATATATATATATATATATTACAATTGCATTGACTAAGTAGGCATTTGATTGTAAAAAATGTATGAATTTACATTTACAAACTTATTCAACTAAGAATGATTTTATACGATAATAATGTAATAATATTAAAAAATTTCCATTTATTCATTTCTTTTTATATATATATAATGATTTAATAATATATATTTTGTTAAAAACATAAACATTTTAAATTAACATCAACAAAAAAGAATAAACCGCGCATCGCGCGGTTTTTCCCTAGTAAAATTAATAATAATGTTAGTTTCGTAGAGAGGGTGAAATTAATAGGTCATATAGCATTCTGCTTGATCTATATATTATATATTCAAAATTAAATATTTCAATATTTTGAATTTATGATTTATATTTATAAATCGGATTTGAGTTTGTGTTTTGTAATTGTATGATCGAACATTCCATGTATATATTTGTCATGTTTATCAAAGATGGATAAAATTATGATTTTATTTTTTAATTAAATATTATCTTATTCTGAAAAATGATAAGAAAACGATTTTAATGGCTATTACAATTAGAACATATTTTTTAATAAAATTCTGATTTGAATAGATATATATATATATATAATATTTTTAGTATCTAAATATATATTTTTTATAAATATAAAATTAGATTTCAAATTTTAACATCGGAAATATTTATATGTTTTAAAACTTAAGATATTTTTAAATTTTCGAAAGACACAAATTTCTAGCTGTTTATCACTACATGTAACAATTGTTCAGTCCTTTTCTTTTCGACAATTCACAACATACCCATGTTTTTAAAATTCCTTTTTTTTTTATCCCCTCGCTCTCCCTATAACGTTAAACCACTCCGTGTGTGCTTTACAGATTCTGTGATTCATTGTTCATGTGTCCTCCGTAATTGCATCTCTTTGTTTAATGGACCGAATGACGTGTTTTTTTTATTTATAAAACCTAGTCTAGTATCTAATATTTCGTAGTTTAAATCACGTAAACAAACACTCTTCTTACACGTGTATTCAGTTGCATAATGCAGTTTAATGCTTATACGTTGTCATTCTGATAATAAAAAACAATAAAGTATACGGACACTAACGCATTATTGATATTAAATTAAAGGCAAGTATCAATTAAACAATTGGAAAAAGGAATTTAAAGCACAAACATATATACAAACTACAAATCAGCAAACGACTTTTAGCAACTTTAAGAGTATGATATATATATGTTATTGTGGTGGGGACCTAAATGGAAGATGATGTCTCCAGAGAGTGGTGATTAGGACCACAGAGTTTGTCATCCGTCGATCCAACAAAGCCGTCGAGTGGGAGGTGGGGCCCACGGGACCGAACCAAAAGACGAGGAGCTGAGTAGACGAGGCGGAAGGCGACAAAAGGGAATCATGGAGATGGGCCCCACAGATGGCCCATTGGCCCATGTCCTTGTCCGTCGGGCCATTACAGCTGCCCGTGTACCCCTCTCGCCCGACTCTTTTCCCCTGCTTTTATTATTTCGTTTTTACCAATTATTTTTCACTTGCCATAGCACGTGCGACGGCTCAGCCTCGTGCGACACCTAGCTCGAATGTCGTGCTACGTGGCAGTTCCGAGAAGACTCTTGAGAGGTGTGTGTGATCAACGGTCAAGATTCAATGACGTTGGACTGCTTGGGTGGGAATCTTTCTTTTCTGCTTTTTCTTTTTCTTTTTTTTTTCACAGGTGGACGTGGAATCTATGACTGATATATATATATATATATATATATATATATATTTATTATCACCGAAACTGGACAAATTGCGAATATTCTAGAGATGGGCAAGTGTTACATCTAGAGATGTAGGAATTTTCATCTCTTACAAGTGATATCTTTCCATTTACATGCAAGAAGAAACCTTATATGACATGTTATCATCTCTCTAATGCTGAATTTTAAAGAATGATTTGATGCTAATTTCGCAAATTCTGACACATTTGTTGACCAAAACAAAAAAGTGTCAAAGTCAGGATCTTGCAATTCGCAAGGCTTTGGAAGCCCCCCTCTCTGCCTGTTATCCATGCTTCGACGCTGCCATCTCAAGTGATATTTAAAGCCCTCATAATATTCAAGGTCAATGAAAAGAGGCGAATCCGTCGATAGGGAAGGGGCTCACCAGGAACAGACCGAGCCGACCCGTCTAGGGATTGAGGTGTTGAGATGTTCTGATCACAGAATGCTGAATCAATGGCGGTGGTTTAGATTCGCCATTGTCCTCCTCCGTTGAACTTGTCTGCTCCTCCTCCTCTCATCTCTATCGTGTCTGAAACTCGATGAGCAAGAGGTTTAGTTGACGCCTCGTTGCTCGATTCTGACGTCACCCATGTGGGCTTCTTCAGTGGTTTACATTTTTGGGCCTTTTTACCAATAAATGAAATGGGCTTATAATTATATTACGGAACAATATCAAGCAATCCAAGTGTGACACTAACTGAAGAAGTTCCTGAAGTACATACATGGATTTAAAGGTTTTAGATGTAACCATGTTGTTCTTTTGGTTGTAGGTAAACATTGTTGAGGTAGATCACTGAAAGGAAATGGGAACAAAGAGTCATTCATCTGCATTTCCCCTGAAACAATGTTGTATCTCTGGTTTCTGAGAAAGGGTTTTGCTTAGAAAGACGAAAGAAGTGCCCTACATTACATGCAATCAGAAATCTCAAGGGGTTGAGTCAACAAAGGTTCCCCAAACAAACGGATATGGATTTATTTGCAAACCTCAGATCTGAGAGAGAAGCTCATGCGAACACCGGAAATCTCGGGCACGGCTTTAGCTAGACATCGGGTGATTGTAAATGTATTCAATGGCGAGAGAACAAGAATCGATCCTGACAGCTTCTTTGTCAGGGATTTCCAGCTTGAACTCCTCTTCCAGGGCCATCACTATCTCCACAGTGTCCAGACTGTCCAATCCCAGATCTTTTTGGAAGTGGACATCAGGAGTCACCTGTGTATAGTTGTTACATGTGAATTAGACAAGAACAAGAGAGAGACAGGAAAACTGAGAGATTTGTATGCATCTAATCTAACAAAACGGAGGCAACACACCATGGATAACAGCAGCCATGGAAAAGAAAATGCAATAGACAATAGAACAACTTGAACACAGTCACACATAACAAACACATGAGTAGATGCAGATTTGTGCTTTGACATGAGTTTTGTAACTAAAGAGTGCTCCGGAAAATCAGACGAAGGAGCAGCTTTCAATGACTAACCTACAAGAACTTAGAAATCGATAGACCCCAAAAGGATCTTTTTAGCATCAATGGAGAATTTCGTACCGTTTGGTGCTTCCCCGCGAATCAACCAAAAAAGGGATTGAAAACTCAGACTAAACGCACATTCTTATCAATCCATTACAATGAGAAATAAGGATTTCGATCTGATACCATCAACCACAGGTATAAATTCCACCAAATACCTACTAATCCAAATCCACCCTTAAGAAAAGAAGAAAGCCATCATCTTATCGGTATTTCCCCGCGAATCTCATCTAAAAAATCGTGGCATTTGCCTAGTAAAAACGAGGATCGGACTGACCTTAACGGGATCGACTTTAGGGTAGCTCTTGACGACATCGAGAACTCGATCGACGACCTCCTGCTTGCTGATATGATCATCGTGCGATGAAAAAAGGCGACCGGAATCAAGGAGACCAATTTGCTGAAGCTTCACTCCTGCGAGTGCTAGGTTCTGCACCGGAACCCTAACGTGACGAAGAATCGCAGTCCTCAGAGCCATTTCCGTCTCTTCGAGGGTTAGGGATCGATGTGTCTATGTGTCCCTCTCGGAGTCCAGGGAAGACTGGCGAGGGGAGGTCAGTCGAGGAATCACGTGCTTACCACGTGGTACAATGGTATGTATCGTGGGCCGTACATGACTGGCTCGGCCCAATATCGGATGGAGCCTTATTTCTCATTTATAATTTTAAACAAATATTTGCAATGCCATCTATGACCAAACCATTTTAAGAAAATAAAAAACAAACACTCTTTTACAGCATAAGCAGGTCCAGGGCAAGAGGCGACGGGATCTCTCACCTTCCGACGATCTCTCCGGTAAATCTCCATACCGCCAGCGAGATCCCGACGTGTTCGCAATCTATCTCTCAGATCCTTGTCGGTAGATCCTGCCAATCATGGCTCCTGTCTCGGCTCTGGCCAAGTACAAGCTCGTGTTCTTGGGAGATCAGTCCGTTGGCAAGACAAGTATCATCACTCGCTTCATGTACGACAAATTCGACAACACATACCAGGTATTTTTCATTTCAATCCCTGGATTATGTCGAAGATGCGCGGCGTATCTCGATATTGTAGGGTTGGTGTCGGGAAACTTGTTGGTTGGATTTGCTTTGGATTTATTTTCGCACTCTTAGGTTCTGGTTTATTGCGAGATTCGTGTTCCTGGATCGAAAATCGGTTTCTCTCCTGATCTCGTGTTTGAATCTGCGTAATTACGTATTGATCTGTTTTGTAGATCCTTGCTTAGTAGTTAGGAGGTAAATCTGACAGGTGAATGGGTGATCGGCTGTGATTTTCTTTCACCACTCATCATTTTTTATTTTTCTGCTAACTATTAATCTTTGATTGGTTTCACATTCAAAAAAATTTCTTGTCATAAACAACTGAAGTTCCACTGAATGAAAGTTGACAAGCCCTCTGCTGAGAAGTAGAAAAATTCCGTGCAGATTTGCAGTAGAAAACTATTTAGTCCGAATTCAATATGATAAGGAATGAAAAACTTTTGATCTTGATGTGAATATGATGTCGGCCAAAACAAAACTTCAGATTTCTGTACTTGTTATATTCATGTTATGTGCGGAAATTACAATTCAGAACCTTCAGGAAACGGATCCATGTGAATCTATCATCATTTTGTTCTTTTTTTTTTCTAAGAAGGTATTTGTTTTGATATCGTCAGGCCACAATCGGTATTGATTTTCTATCCAAGACAATGTATCTTGAAGATCGAACTGTCAGATTGCAGCTCTGGTAAATACTGGACCCATTGTTAGTTTCTTGACACCGAAACATATCATCCCACATCATGGTTTAAGAATGAACTTTGAGACGTATGACAGGGATACTGCTGGGCAGGAGAGATTCAGGAGTCTTATTCCAAGCTATATTAGGGACTCGTCTGTTGCCGTCATTGTGTTTGATGTTGCAAGTATGTGAACTTTGCCCTTCTATCTAAACTTCTCAAATGCACGCCTTCCTTTCCACATCACAGAGTTGGTGGCTATGGCATGCTAATAATCATACGAGCAGATGTGTTATCCATAATCTTTTTGTTGTTATTGATCAATGAGTTTTTGTTATGGATCCTTCATGTGTGCATTCTGAAAGCCAGTTTCCGTTTTCATTTTTCCACATGATTTAGGCAGGCAGTCCTTCCTAAACACTTCTAAGTGGATCGAGGAGGTTAGGAGTGAGCGTGGCAGTGATGTCATAGTTGTGCTTGTGGGAAACAAAACAGACCTTGTGGACAAGAGGTAATAATCAAAGTTTTGATGCGATATCCAGATAATGGAAAATCTCAATCATCATAGAATACTTGAAACATATTCTATCCTGTGCCAATACCTTCCTTTTTCGAATGAAGAGTTTGATTGTTTCTGTCTGCCATGACAAACCCAAGTTTGACTCTTGTTCCCATGACATCGAGTGTGTTTTCCAAATGAGTAAACGTCTCATGCTTTCCCTTGGTATCTATCTGCCTGCAAATCTACCGCTGTCCAAGTGGACAGTGAGCAGAAAATCGTTACGGTTTTATGTAGACATCAAAAAGCTTTAAAACTTTGCCTACCTATTAATGTATTTGTTTAAACAGGCAAGTATCAATAGAGGAAGGAGAAGCCAAGGCTCGGGAGCTTAATGTAATGTTTATCGAAACCAGTGCCAAAGCAGGCTTCAACATAAAGGTAAAAAACGATGTCTGCTTGATTTATACAGCAAGGAGTTATGCTATATATGCATTTGACTTCATCTCAGAGCCCTATCGAAACCTACTCCTGTTATTCATAAGGCTGATTCCCATTTGCTGACTGCTTGATCTCGCCTGTTAGGCCTCTCGTTAACAAGATTGGATATTATCTGAGCCCTAACTAAGCTTGTGTTTATGATCTCCAGGCGCTTTTCCGCAAGATAGCGGGAGCTTTGCCCGGAATGGAGACATTGTCTTCAACGAAGCAAGAAGACATGGTCGATGTCAATCTCAAGTCTTCCAACGCAAATGCCTCTCAGGCACATCAACAACCCGGAGGATGTTCTTGTTAATGGCACAAACAAATCAATAACAAGGGAAAAAAGTCCCAACGAAAGAAGGAAAAAAGAAAAAGAACTCCATCTGTAAAATTTTGTCTGCTTCCATTTTCCAACCTATATGCACTGTTTTATTGTCCTAACATGATCTTGGACTCTTGTTTAGTACTCGTGTGCTGGATTTCACAGTTTGAAGTGTCGGCGGTTAAGATGTTTTGATTGGTTTGGATCTTGTTGCAATTGTGTTTTTGTTTTTTATAAAAAAAAAACTAGGAGAATTTACACCAACAACTATATTTTAAAAGTTTAATATATAATCTCTCTCTAAATTGCCCCCCCCCCCTTTTTTTTTCTGCAGCGTCCATGTGGTGACACAAGATCAAAGGCAGAGAATGGAGAAATGGTAAGTTGAGACACATGCATTTGTTCAGACGGCCATAAATGAGCCATTAAATTCATAGTACCTCGCCAATTCTCCCCGAGGAAAACCCATATCATAATATCTCCCTCATCCCAATTACAAACCAAAACCCAAAAGGAACAAGAGAGAGAGAGAGTTCTTAATACAATTATGTATTCATTCAATTCTTTCCCATCCTTGATGTACCAAAAGACAAAGAGTAGAAGGGCGAAAAGTAACATTTAATTCAACAACTTGCTAAAGAAAAAAATTGTAGGCCTGAGAGGCGGGGAGAGTGCCACGGAGGCATTGTTTCACCACACGAGAAAAAAATTTAAAAATAAAAATCCCCATCAATACCTCCACTTTCTATTTTCTCTGACCGTTACCGTCTATATAGAAGCCTTGATCCGTCCGGCTATGGCAATTTTCACGGATCCATTCACAGAATTAATGTGCTCATACGCTTGATTCTGCGTTTTAAAATCTATTATATATATTGGATCACGCATAAGAACGAGCAACTCTGTTTACTTTTGTTTTATGACACGGGTTTGACTTTTAAAGTCCCATGGAATAAACCATCCAAAATGGTGACATCTTTGTTTTGGAAACATCAACGAAAATAACTGACATTCACAACATGGGGTGACCAAATCATACAGTTTTCCTTCTTGTATAATCTATCTTTTTGTCTTTGTACATCCAAAAATTTTATATAAAAATAATGACCAGCAGTTGTAAACTTGCACAGTACACCCAAAAAAAAATGAAACTATTATGTATTATGCTATTTTTGAAAAAAAAAAATTGGATGTAAATATATATTTCTGCACATCAAAAGTGGTCGAATTTAATTCTTTTCGATCTATGCGTGTTTTAGGCACCACCGATTTCATACTAATTACCATCCTTACGCTTTGATTTCCCATCTGTAATCAATGGCAACGCAGGGATGGGCCCGAGGGGTACTTACGTCATTTCGCATGGTCGGTCAACCGGCGACGGATTCTCCAACTCAACGGCGGTGATCACCTCTCCCCAAATCCACGAGCTTCTTCGACCGGTTCGCGCAAAACGAAGCCGCCGTCGATATGTGTGGCTTCGCCGGAGACTTTGACTCTCCGGAAAACCTGAATTCCGGCGGCAAGCTTCCTTTCCGCCTCCAATGGCGGCTTGGGCTCGCTCTCACCAGCGGGCTCAAGCAGATGGCCATCCCCGCCACGCTTTTCCCGAGCCCCACGCGCGTCTTCCTCCTCGCCGGCGTTCCCGCTGCCGCCGTCCTCATCAATCTCCCCGGCTTTCGAATGAAGAGTTTGATTGTTTCTGTCTGCCATGACAAACCCAAGTTTGACTCTTGTTCCCATGACATCGAGTGTGTTTTCCAAATGAGTAAACGTCTCATGCTTTCCCTTGGTATCTATCTGCCTGCAAATCTACCGCTGTCCAAGTGGACAGTGAGCAGAAAATCGTTACGGTTTTATGTAGACATCAAAAAGCTTTAAAACTTTGCCTACCTATTAATGTATTTGTTTAAACAGGCAAGTATCAATAGAGGAAGGAGAAGCCAAGGCTCGGGAGCTTAATGTAATGTTTATCGAAACCAGTGCCAAAGCAGGCTTCAACATAAAGGTAAAAAACGATGTCTGCTTGATTTATACAGCAAGGACGCCACCGCCGGCGGCTGTCGCTCGTCATCCGTCTCTATATCTCTCGCCGGCGACATTCCCCGGCAAAACACCCGCTGAGGTCTACGATCGCAGTCGGCGATCACGTCCTCGATGAAGCACGAGGTGGGTTGCTTCTTCATCCGACCGGACATCACCGTCGAGAACCAGGACCACGAAGACGAGGATGACGTGGAAGCGTCGCAGGAATGGCGAGAGGGCAACCTACGATCAGACACCGATGATTTGAAACCCGAATCGAACTCGTCAGATCTGGCCCTGAACAGATTAGACAACCGAGAGAAACCGCTCCTTTTCTTCTTGAACGATCGGTCGGATTCTGAGTCCGCGACGGAACCACCGCCACCGGAGGAAGAGGAGGGGCCGGGACCCACCTGAGGGGTGGAGAAGAACCGGCAGTGAGAGGACAAAGGGTGGTCGCCGGCGGCGTCAGATTTTCTGGGAGCAACGTAAGGGGACACGGACCGAGGAAAAGCAAGATGCTGCGGATCGGGTCTCCGGGAATGGAGGTGGTCGACAGCGGAGGCTCCGTCGGCGGCGGAGACAGAGGCGGAGACGGCAAGGGAGAGGAGGCGCTCACGGAGGCAGGAGGCGCAGACGCCGACGGAGCTGCTGAGATCGGCGACGTGACGCTTACACCTCATGGAGGAGAGAGAAGATTAGGGCAGGGAGATTGTGATGTCGGAGTGGTGTGACGGCTTTGTAAGAAGAAGCTGAAAGATCTGGCGAGAAAGATTTTGTCTTCTTCTGAGTTGGTTTCTTTTCTTTTTTGGCTTTTTAAGAGAGAGAACGGTAGATTGTGAAGAGAGAGAAACTGTGCTCAGAGTTTGAGGAATGCGCCGAAGCTCATGGGAGAGAGGAGAGAGATTAGATAAAAAAATAAAATAAAAATACTGATAGTTGACAATTGACATCCCCTCCTCATACATCATGAAAATACTGTAGAAAAATACCGTTCGTATTCACAATAATCTTTTATCACTTTTATGTTTTTTTTTTATATAATTATATATTTTTTAATTTTGTTATTGTTGTGTGTAAGAGTTTTCTTGTCGTTGACATTGCTTTTTTTTTTTCCCTCTCAACCAAAAACCACTGCATCTGAATAAGATGCATAATGATTAGCTCAGCCACTGACCTCACCGAAAATTATAATAATAATAATTAAAAAAAAAGAAGGAAAAACCATCACTGTCCTTTCAATTTTGACTTAATTAAAATTGGCAATGGATTAACTCTCCAAGCCATATTATGATTAAGGTAATAAAATCATAACTGTTAACCGAGGGAAATTATAGAAAAGGGGGGGGGGTAGTGGTAGTGGTGGAAAGTGGAAACGGACGTGTGTGAGGTGTTTTAGGGGACCCTGACGTCGTCGTTTTGCGCATCCCACACGCTCCCTCGTCCGTTTCTTCGGCCTCCACGTGTCCTCCGACCCATAAAGCCCGCTTTTATTGGGCCTTGGGCCTTACTCTTCGTATTGTATGGGCCTACTTAGCCCGTCTGAATGTCCATCATGCGGTTGCTTATCTCATCGGCTTGTGGGCCCTTGGAATTCATTACGTTTTTTCAAAAATTCGAAAATTCAAAATCGTTAATCAAAAAGGCAACCAGAACTTTCCAAGATGAATATAATATATCAACCATTATTGTTACCATTCAAAAAAAAAAAAAAAGTCGCAAGATAAGACGGCCGAACCGAGACGACGCGGGTGGGTTTAGCCTTAGCCACAGTCAAACATCTTCTTCTGAGTCACACTGACGTTGTCCTGAAGAAAACCATCTTCTGCTGTAACTTGATTCCCTCTTTTGGCCCCTACTTCTTTCTTGCTCTCCCTGGTTTCGTCTTTGAAAGTCTTGACCTTTGCTGAAATTCTTGCGCCTTCTTCTCTGTACTGATCCCGTTTCCAGAATTCTCTTCTGGGGAAGATGACGACCATGGAGAGCTTGATTGGCTTGGTCAACAGAATTCAGAGGGCTTGTACCGTGCTCGGCGACTATGGCGGTGGTGACAACAGTTTCTCTTCTCTCTGGGAAGCTCTCCCCTCTGTCGCCGTCGTCGGTGGCCAGGTGACTCCCCTTTCAGTGCCATGGTTTCGCCCAAAGACCTAATTTTTTTTTCTATCTCTGTGTTGCTTCTTAGCTTGGTTCTTGGTTTTTCTTTTTTGGGTACAGAGTTCTGGGAAATCTTCGGTTCTCGAGAGCATAGTTGGAAGAGACTTTCTTCCTAGAGGATCCGGTTAGAACCCACGGCCTTTCCCATTTGATGTATCAGAGTGTATGCGCATGGTGAGAAGCTCTGATTCTTGAGTGAGGATTGTGTTGCAGGTATCGTTACGAGACGGCCTTTGGTGTTGCAGCTTCATAAGACGGAGGATGGAACAGAGGAGTATGCTGAATTCCTTCACCTCCCCGATAGGAAATTCACCGACTTCTGTATGTACATGCTTATATATAGATGGATAGATAAATGCTTGAGCTTCTCTTAAGATTGTCTGGTAACGATGTCCTGTTATGTTACTTGAGATTCTTTCCTGTTATATAATACAGGTGGGTGTTCTTGGTGTTAGTTGAAAGTTTCCCGGAACTAATTTGGAGTTATGTCATGTTGCAGCATTGGTTCGAAAGGAGATTCAGGACGAAACTGACAGAGTCACTGGCAAGACCAAGCAGATATCTCCAGTTCCCATTCACCTCAGCATCTACTCTCCAAACGGTCTGTTTATTACAGTAATTGACCATTGATTCTCCTGTTTCTGGAGTTTTTCTTCCTAACATTCGTTCTTGTTTTTTTTACTTGTGTTGTTTGAAACAGTTGTGAATTTGACCCTCATTGATTTACCCGGTTTAACTAAGGTTGCCGTTGGTACGTCCACTTGGCCTTTCTTTCCGTTCTTCTCCCGTCGATATTTTGGTGCTAATGTTAACTTGTGGATGCTGTCTTTCTTTCCAGAGGGACAGCCGGAAAGTATTGTTCAGGACATTGAAGCAATGGTTCGCTCATACGTTGAGAAGGTACCCATCACAAAACATGGACAAATGAAATCGTTTCAATAAGGTTCATAAACCATATGAGATTATAATTTCTCATGTACTGAGAAACGGTATTGTATGTAGGTTCATTCTGGATGATTCTACTTAATATGCTTTGTATAGTTTCCAATTGACTGTTTTCTATTCATTGGCACAGCCCAACAGTATAATACTAGCCATATCTCCTGCCAACCAAGACATCGCCACTTCAGATGCGATCAAGCTTGCAAAAGAAGTGGATTCAACAGGTTTGCTTGTTTTGCTGTTGCAAGTGGATGATGATTTTTTTTTGCTTTTGCTGTTAAACTGTACTATATATATAGGTGAGAGAACATTTGGTGTTCTGACCAAGTTGGACTTGATGGACAAGGGAACTAATGCATTGGATGTAAGTCTCTTTCCAATGACTTCCCTTTGATCCTGTCTTTTTTATATCTGTTTCTACTTGGGTGGATAATTTGATAATCTATGTGTATATAGTAAGATCCTCTTTTGGGTTTTTAACAAATCGGATAAGGTTCTGGAAGGAAGAGCATACAGGCTGCAACATCCATGGGTCGGGATAGTGAACCGGTCACAAGCAGATATCAATAAGAATGTAGATATGATGGTTGCAAGACGGAAGGAACGGGAATATTTCGAGACCAGTCCTGACTACGGTCACTTAGCCAACAAAATGGGTTCAGAATATCTGGCAAAGCTGCTCTCCAAGGTGTTAAAAATCAAAACCCAAACTCTGAAATCTTGTCTTCTCTTCGATCTCTAGGTTCTTGATAATGGTGGTATGGTCTTTGTTTTTTCAGCACTTGGAGACTGTTATTAGGGCCCGTATTCCGAGTATCCTTTCCTTGATAAACAAAACCATCGAGGAACTCGAAAGAGAGTTGGACCATTTGGGTCGGCCTATCGCCGTTGATGCTGGGGTGAGTTCATTTAAGTGTTTCACTTTCTCACTTCCTCTGTTACGAACAGTGCTTTTAGGGCTCGACCTAAAATTTCTCGGTCTCAGGCGCAATTATACACAATCTTGGAGATGTGTCGTGCATTTGATAAGATCTTCAAGGAGCATTTGGATGGAGGGTAAATAACAAATATCGTTATTTTTTTCCCGTCGTTGGTTCAAGTTATATTCTTGAACTCACCTCTGAGCTTAACTTCACGTCTTTAGGCGACCTGGAGGTGACCGAATATATGGTGTCTTTGACAACCAGCTTCCTGCTGCTCTGAGGAAACTCCCTTTCGACCGCCATCTATCTTTGCAAAATGTGAAGAGAATTGTGTCCGAAGCAGATGGTTACCAGCCTCACTTGATTGCACCCGAGCAAGGTTATCGTCGTCTTATCGAAGGCTCGTTGAACTATTTCAGAGGTCCAGCCGAAGCTTCTGTTGATGCTGTATGTTCTTTTGTGTTTATCCCTATCCTTTGCGTATATATATGTATATGTGTGTCTGTATGACTGCAATGAGTGTGCTGCAGGTTCATTTTGTCCTGAAAGAGCTTGTGAGGAAGTCGATCTCAGAAACCGAGGTGAGATTTTTGTTTTACGCAAGTGATATATCGAACCATTTTCGTGTTTTTTTTTTCCAAGTTGGAGAAGAAATCATCAGTCATTGATGCTTGTGGGGAAAGCAGGAGCTGAAGCGGTTCCCGCCTCTACAAACCGAGATAGCTGCAGCAGCAAACACTGCATTGGAGAAGTTCCGGGACGAAAGCAAGAAGACAGTTGTCCGGCTCGTTGACATGGAAGCTTCATATCTGACTGTCGAGTTCTTCCGGAAACTTCCGCAGGAAATGGAAAAACCGGGTGGGCCCGGAGGAAACCCTCCTCCCCCTCCGGCCGCCGCCACTTCACCCACCGCCGACCGGTACGGCGAGAGCCATTTCAGAAGGATAGCCTCGAATGTATCGGCCTACATCAACATGGTTTCAGACACGCTTCGTAAGACTATCCCAAAGGCAGTGGTCTACTGTCAGGTCCGAGAGGCCAAACACTCGTTACTGAACTTCTTCTACTCACAGATTGGAAAGAGAGAGGTAATGAATGTCCTTCCACTTCTTCTCCTTCAGTCTCGGAGACATCATTACATTACATTGGCTTTATTTTGGCATCAGGGGAAGCAGTTAGGACAGCTACTGGATGAAGATCCTGCCTTGATGGAGAGGAGACTTCAATGTGCTAAAAGGCTTGAACTTTACAAGAAAGCTCGGGACGAGATTGATGCTGTGGCTTGGGCCAGATGACAAAATTCGATGCGAGTGTTGTGGTGATGATACTGTGATTACTGTTTGGTGGTTAGGATAAGATTATCACTGTTCATGATAACGTGTTTGTATTTATTCAAGACATTGTGAGACAGTGTCATGGGGGGATGAATCTTGACCTTCTGAATTCTGATTGGATTTCTGTATTTGATCTTCAATGTCTGCTTCTCATGGCCCTTTAACTGTTATGGAGTTTCGGCTTATGGAATCGTCGTAATAAACCAACACCGGTTTAGTGAATGAAATACCGGATGATATTGTGGGTCTTAAAATCTTACGATGTTTTTTTTTTAATTTTCTTTTAAATTTATGGGCATTTAAGGACCTAGCAGTTGTGAACGAGAGAGGATATTTATATTCAACCTTTATGTACTTCGGTACTTTGGATTTGGACAAATCATATTCAGTCGTTCAGTTTCAGTTCCGAGATGAATTAGCCGCCAAGGTGAGGTTATGTCAGTTCAGAGAGTCATTTCATGCAAATGTGTAATCATGTTTTTGTCATGGTTTATAATAGGGGTAGATCTTTCGGTTTAGAGGAGCCCAACCGTATCGTACCGAAAACCGGGGTATTTTTTCGAATCGAACCGTATTTGTTTTTTAGTAAACTGAATTTTTTTAAACCAAATCAAATTGAATTGTAAAAAAAACGAAAAACCAGAAAACTCTAAAAAATATCTATTTTTTTTTAATAAAAATCAGAACCGAACCAAAGTGAATCGAAAATAAAATCGATTGGTATATAATTTTATAAAATCTTAGAAACTGAGCCAAACCAAAACCAAACCCGAATACTGAAACTGCCAACCCTTGTTTATAATGTGATTTAACACACACAAAGAAAAGAAAAAGAAAGATACTTGATTTGCTCAATTCATGCAAATGAGAGAGAGAGAGAGAGAGAGAGAGAGAGAGAGGGTGTGGAATTCATGGGGATGTCGTTAAAATTGGATAGAGAAAGAAAACAAAAAAAAAAACGTTACATGTGATGGCTACTCGGCCTAATCTGTGAGGCTGAGAGAAGAGAACGTAGATGGGACCCACCCTATTGTGCTGGGGTTGGTGCACCCGATCCCTACTTCATTTATTTATTTTTTTCTTTTAAAGAAAAAATTTCCGATAGATAATACAAACATTCGATACATATGTATATTACGCGAGACATTTATGAAGGTCCATGAGCAAGCCCTCGGTCGTCTGTTAGCTATCCATACGAGGATATTATGATCATGAATGATGGTGTATATTCTATGGATAGACATGTAATGCTACGTTCATAAATGTCATATGACACTAGCTTTTTTTTTCCTACACTTGTATTATATGATACATATTTCCACCTTCATTATTTTTTGTGGGCTGATTTTAAGAAATACAAAATACTTATATAGAGCAATTTATGAAAGCTTTAAGCAGATAAATCAGAACCATATGTCATATGAAAAAAAAAAACTGTTCCTATAATTATTTCACGAAGTATGTGCCTAATAAAATATTATAGTAGTATAACCTAACAAACATAAAATAAGTGCATATAGGTGTATTTTCAAACCTAAATACCAAATACTTTCAACTACTTGGCCACTAAAATCGATCCATTCAGGTTTTAGATTATGACCTAACACATTATATCTACTGAATATATTTATCATTCTATTGCTAAATATTTTATATAAACTAATTAATATATTTATTATAAATATAAACACTATCCCTACCCCTGCATACAAATTAATCAAATTTAGTTTATTTTTAAAAAAAAGTTATGATTTATAAAGGCACCGAAGATTAGGTCTTTTTTTATAAAAAAAAAATACGATAGGCGTGGCAGAAAGGATTTGAATCACGATTAGCCACTGAATTTTTAAACAAGGAAGACAAGTTACAGAGGATTTCGAACAAAATTGACCATTAAAGTTGAAACAAATTAAATAACAGCAAAACAGGTTGTAATAAAAAAGAGAAATGGTGAAGTACGTGCTTGGAAGCAACACTTGTTACAAACTTGTCGCAGACTCCGTAACATCGATACGCATAAAATAAATCCGGAAACGTGCAAATCCCCAATTCAAATTTTAAATCTCGACCGTCCATTTCATCCACATAACACCCCTCCCTTCTCTCTGTATATATATATATATATATATCCCTCACTGGAAGAGCTGCGTCGTGCGATCGAGGAAACCTTTTTGGAAGAAATGGTGGCCGAATCTCTGATCAGAATCTACGAATCCTTCGTCGATGCCATTGTTATCGCCTCAGTCTTCGTCTTCTCTCTCCGTCTCTGCTTCAGAATCGCTTCATTCCTCGCCAGCCGACCATGGCGCCGCCACCGCACCTTCACCTTCCGCCCGCGGTGGAGAAATCCGGCGAACGATCCTCATCCGCCTCCGTGCTGCGCGGTGTGCCTCCGAGATGCCGCGGAGGGAGAGAAGATGCGGCGGCTGACGGTTTGCGGCCACTGCTTCCACGCCGATTGCATCGACACGTGGCTCTCGATGAAGTCCACGTGTCCTCTGTGCAGAGCCGAGGTCCCGCCTCTTCCGCCGGCGAATCCTCTCCTCTTGCTGATCGTTCCGTACGGCGTCATCGAATACATCACCAAAAACGGAACCATCGTCTCCGACTCGTAGCGACGGTTAGAGATCCGATTTGATTTTTTTTTTTTTATATATATAATTCGCTTCGTTAGGTGTAGTAATTTGCGTACAAACGTGTAGTAGCAGAGTTGGTGATCGATGCATATTCATTTGATTTCTCATCATTTTGTCTTCCGCCATTTTTGTTAATCTCTCAGAAAAATCATAATTTATACAGGATAATACATAGTTAATACAATTTATGAACTATATAAGTTTTGATGGGCTTTTGCATATTTGATGGGAGTATTGAAAAAATAAAATGCGGAAACTGAAAAGAGAGAAAAGAAGAGAAAAATAAAACAAAGAACACTTTTATTACACGGAAGGCTATTGGATCGAATGACAAAGACATTGTTGAAAAAAAGATGGCTTTTCCCGGATGAAATTGAGAGTAACTCATCTATTTATAAGAAACAACTATAAAATAATTAAAGAAAGAAATTTACAAAGAAATAATATATGATAGAAACAAATAAATTAAGAGATAATTGATACAATTATCATTATTTGTTAATTGATTTTGTGTCTCTAATTTCTCTCAATCATCCTCATAATCATTTCCATATCAATTTCAATCTTCTTAAATATATATTTGGTTCCTTATTTCAACATTCCCCTCAAGATTGACTTAGAGATAATGTAAAAAGTCAATCTTGTAGAGAATATCTAAAACAATTTAAAAACTCGATGAGTAATTCATTGTTAATAAAATGATTCATAGATACCAATTTGGTTCTTAAGAGTTTTGATCCATCCTCAAATCAGTTCGCATGATCATGGAATTCTGCCTTTATCTCCTTTTGTCATAGCACTTCGCTTGATCTTGGAGTTTTTTGTGGCTTTGATTCCTTTTTTCATAGCACCTCGTTTTGATTCTGGATTTTGCTTCACTTCAAACCACTTGAATATATGAATATTAAGAACTCAAAAATGAAGAGTGTAGAAAATAAAAACTATGAAAAAAGAAGTATATAGATCAGATCGTAACCAGGCTCTGATACCATATTGAAAAAATAAAATGCGGAAACTGAAAAGAGAGAAAAGAAGAGAAAAATAAAACAAAGAACACTTTTATTGCTACATCTCTTATTCTTGTTATTTTACAATGAGAGTAACTCATCTATTTATAAGAAACAACTATAAAATAATTAATGAAAGAAATTTACAAAGAAATAATATATGATGGAAACAAATAAATTAAGAGATAATTGATATAATTATCATTATTTGTTAATTGATTTTGTGTCTCTAATTTCTCTCAATCATCCTCATAATCATTTCCATATTAATTTCAATCTTCTTAAATATATATTTGGTTTCTTATTTCAATAGGGAGGACATGAATTCCCTTATCTGGAACTATTGGATCAAATTTAATTATGGGTATCTTTTATTCCTAAGCATTACTTCGTTCTTTATTTTATGTGGTTGTTGTATCATTGTTCTCTAATATATTTATAATTATATGTACATATAATTATACTGTTAATATATAGCATTTGCTTTTTTCTCTTGATTATATTTTTTTATAATCTAAAAATTCACCGGATCTTTGATATATTTTTTTGATATATATTTTTTTATAATCCGAAAGTTTATCGGATAAACACTAAAAAAAAATGGTCATTTCCAACGGGTAAATCCGTTGAAAATGACCAAATTTCCGTTGAAAATTAACGTTTCCAACGGATTTCCAACGGATTTATCCGTTGGAATTTCGTCGTTAGAAATCGGTGTCCGTTGGAAAACCGTTGGAATTTTCAACGGAATTGCAACGAATTTTTCCGTTGGAAATTTCCAACGGATTTCTAACCGCAATTTCGGTTGGAAAATTCCAACGGAATTTCCAACCGCAATCCCTTGGAATTTT